ACGGTTTGTTTCACTTAGTTATGCTCGCCTAGTATCATTTATAGAAAAATTACGGCAACTTTGTACATCTACTTTTTGTTTTTAACAGAATTAAAAATACAATATTATGTTTTTATACATGTGTTTCGGCAGTCAAAATCCACGGTAAGACTTCTATAAGTCACCTTAATGTATTATTTTTATTAGATACTAGCTGTCGACTGCAAATTTTAATTAGTAGTACGTGTTCTTTTAGACTATGCTCTACATCTATGCCAAATTTCATCGAGATACCTTCTAACAAACATCCATCCATTTAAACATTCGCATTTATAATATTAGTAAGATAATTTAGATTGATTTTATTACTTTTTCTATACACAAAAAATGCCTTCAGATTTAATTAAAAGGTTATACTTCAAAAGGGGTTGTACAAATTTGATAAATATGGTTGTTTATGAACCTGTTATAGCGGTCCACTGGCAAATATAAAAATATCACGTTATCGATTGTCTGACGAAATTCTCGTTGCTATGGCGACGCGGCTTTCACGTGTACGCGGAGAACCCTTAAAAGGTACGACGTCTGAGAGCAGGCTTATTTGGACCGGCGAAGTTTAAGAATTTCGTAATATTTTTGGCAATGTACTTTGTGAGTTTAGTTAAGTGTTAATTAAAGATGTATACTATTTACTTAACATGAAAAGATTAATCTATACATATTAATTAAATTAGCGTGTCTGTATGTAATATAGAAAAAAATGTATTTGTCTGTCTGACTGTCTGAAGGCCGCGTTTGTTCCGGGTAATCTCCGTAACGGCTGGACCGATTTTTAAGGAACTTGGACTGGAAGATAGCTAATGCACGCGAGCATGTTGTAGGCTACTTTATTCTGTGCTGATGAAGTCGCGGGCGATCATTAGTATGCTATAATATTGTACATCATCATCATTAGCTCACTATACGTCCCCACCGAGAACTCGGAGTTTAACCTAAGTTAAGGGTGATTAGGCCATAGTCAACCACGGTGGCCAAGTGCGGATTGGTTGAACACACATATCTTTGAATTTCTTCTCAGATATGTGCAGTTTGTATCACGATGTTTTCCTTCACCGTAACAACGCCGGATAAATGTACATATGTAAATCAGAAAAACACATTGGTATATGGCGGGATTCGAACCCAGGACCTGCAGATTGCAAGTCAAGTGCTTGACCACTGAGCCACCGACGTTCCATAATATTGTACACCAGATAGAAATTAAAGAATAATTAGACTAATACAAGACCTATTTCTACAAGCCAGATAAAATTTATAACATAATACCTTTGTAGACTGTCTTTAAAGGATTAACTAAATAACATTGTTATTTTACTAAATAAGCAAATGTTTGGATGGATTGTTAGATGGATGATGGATGAATGTTTGTTTGAAGGTAACTCCAAAACGGTTACATGGATCTCGATGAAATTAGTAGTAGTCTACTGATTAAGGTTTTTTTTTTAATACCGCGTGGAAGTTGTCGCGGGCAACAGCTAGTTTTTACTAAATTCACATATCATCTCTATGCGTATATTCTATGCTCTATTGCTTCTTCAGAGATTTCATTGATAATTATGACCTTTACCTATTATTTTCAATTTGCTGATAATTAATGATAAACTAATGTAATGTATGAATTTATCATTAAAATGCTTTAATATCGGCGCAGCACCTTGACATAATATACGGGAAATAAGCAAATGATAAGATATGCTAATATTATCTAGACTAAGATTTAAAATTGGACTAGTTAATATTTGAGCTATATCTTACTTATTACTAATGTAATGCGAATGATTGGATGAATGGATGTTTGGAGGTATCTCGAGAACAGCTGTATGGATCTCGCTGAAATTTGTCATAGATGTAGAACATAATCTGGAAGAACACATAGGCTATTAAGTTTTTTCAATTCCGCGCGGACGGAGTCGCGGGCGACAGCTGGTTTGTAAATATAATAAAACTATTATAATATTATATAAAATTGGAATTTATAAATCATGTCTGTGTAACGCTTTATAAAATTGATTTTTATTATAAAATATTCAACAAAGTATAATAATATTTCTTGTTCGCAAACTGAAATAACGATGTTTACGTAAATTTGAATTTTTAAGAAGTATCCATCGTCTCGTCTGGATGTTTATATTCTAAGAAAATATCTTGCAAATGACGGCGAAGTACATAGCGTTTGTTGCACTCTATTATCTAATAGGGTTGCCAAAAATAATATTTGCTGAGAAAACAAACGGTATTTCCAAACCAATACGACTTGGGGTCCTTCAAGAAGCGAGCTTATCACCACCTCAAAGGCCGGCAACGCATCTGCGGTTCCTCTGGTATTGCTGATGTCCATGGGCGTCGTTGAACACCTCGGTGTTCCCGCTGCTCGTTTGCCCCCTTCTGTTATAAAAAAAAATGTCTATGTTTGTGCGTTACGTAATATATTTGATTATATGAGTAAACAAAGTCGTTAGGAGTAATGATTGCTTTGGTCTTGATCACACAGCTGTTTTATATATTTTTTTTACTAAGATGCAAAATAGATTTTACAATGCTGTTAAATTTTGTCAAACGTATCACGAAATATATATCGTTATTTGGAATATTTAACTTGATAATTTACACATTTATATTATAATATATTTGCATTTTTTAAATAGGCAACCCTATCTTGAGCTTTTATTATATTGACCTTTACAGTTTAGGGCACTCGATGTAGCGATCCATGAACCTTTATAAAGGGTTAGTTCTATATCGCACGATATCGTGGAATACACAACATGTTGCCGTCCGTTTTCACTGCTTACAAAAACACATTGATGTTTCTAATATTATAAATGCGAATGTTTGGATAGCATTATTGATCTTGTTGAAATTTGGCATAGATGTAGAACATATTCTAGAAGAACACATAGACTAGTTACTAAGATTTTTTTAATACCGCGTGGAAATCGCGGGTGACAGCCGGTAACAAATAAACATAGAATTTGTACAAAGAAATCAATGCATACAAAAGTAAATTTTATTGTTATATTAGCTGTCTCCCGCGCGAAATTAAGAAAAATAGTAGCCTATGCGTTCTTCCAGACTATGTTCCACATCTATGCCAAACTAGCTACTATTTTAATTCATAACATTTATACATGAAAGTCAAAGTAATCTAATTGCAGTACTAGTTGTCGCCCTCGACTCCTTCCGCGCGGGATTACAAAAAAAAAACTTAGTAGTGTTCTTTCTATGTTCTATATAGTGCAGTCGTTCTGGAGATACCTTTGAACAAAAATTCATCCATCCATCCATTCGCATTTATAATATTTGTTAGATAAAATAGGTTTTAATTAATTAATATTATACATTGTACCATTCAGCTACTGTTTCTTGTTTAGTTTGCACTAAAATGCAAATTATGTTACTCAAAGTTGTGCAGCGCTAGCTTAGCTCAAGGGGGAGTGTTACTTAATCCGGGTTAAGTTTCCTACGAACGTTACCGACTAACTTATCCGACGTCTGACGATATTGGGCACGTATTAAATTACATAAATTGTTCCGACAAAGGATCAACCTCATATGATAGTACCTCACGACCTCAAGATATTAATGAGGTGAGATAGATAATTTTGTAATTTCTGACGATACACGTACTCTTAGCATTATAGAGACGTAACTAAAAAAGGTCTTGACAGATAAACGGACGGACAACAAAGTGATCCAATAAGGGTTCCGTTTTTTCCTATAAGATACGGAACCCTAAAAACAAGCTTTTTAAAATTGTTTCCTAAAGTTTCCAATGAGTATCATTTTCGTAGTTATTGGAAATTATTCGATTCTATATTAAATTATTCAAACTTTCGTGAGACATTATAATAAACTTATATAAAAACGGCTAAAACACTCACGTATTTTAGTCCGGTGGCGGCACCGACTAGTTTCGAGCCCATCCTGCACAAAGAGAGAAGAAATTCAAAGATATGTATGAAGTCAACCAACCCGCACCTGGCCAGCGTGGTTGACTATGGCCTAGTCACCCCTGACTTAGGGTAGGCTATAAGCCCCTCGGTGGAGACGTATAGTGAGCTGATGATGATGATATGTTATTCCACTCATTCTATGCTAAAACAGATTAACAAACATATTGTGATGTTTTTGTGAATGTGTTTTTTTTAATGGAAACACACGGTAAAAACACAAAAGTCACCGACGTGTATAGTTCGTTTGCTGTTTTATTCACGCGAACGACGCCTTTTTAGAACGAGATTAAAAGATTCTTTCAAACCCTTTGAGTTGGGGGTTTTGTTTTGGCGTTTTTTGTGTTTAGCGCAGTCAGACAGAACGCATGAAAACATTCAAACAAATGTTAGCCGTTTGATCATTTGTGCGTTTAGATTTAGAGATTTTTATAGTGTACTTGAAACCAGAATAATATACGCCTAGAATATATTCTGGTTTCAAGTATATTGCAAAGAAGTGATATTTTAGTCTTCCTATATAATAGTATGATACTTCTACAAAATATTGAGGGAATTCTCGGAAAAGATTTGCGTCAGCGACATTTCTAATACATACGTGTTCTTAGAAACATAATAGCGACGATATTGTCGTGCAAAATTGGTCTGTTTGGAGACATATTTGACTCATTACGCCCACCGTACACTTAAGCACTAGCGTTTATTATTGGGTTATTAAAAAAGTTTTAACTAAAGGTTGAACCCAATTATAGATTTTAATGTCATCTTTGGTTATCTTACATATTTTTACTTCCAATTTTCAATCTATTTGCCTTTAACAGATGTAAAGATCGCTATAGCAAACTAAGAATTCAATCCATTGTTTAGGACGCGTAATACAGAGTTAAATAAAAAAAATCTTTAGACCGATGTTAAGGATCGGTTATTTAGTTCGTCGTATAGAAACTTTCTATGTAAAGTTGCCAATTTCTCCATACAAGCTTGTTAATAATACAACGTTTTGCGTGCCAGGTGATAGTTGAATCGCACAAGGAGCTACGATGTCCGGAGTGTCGGGTGCTAGTCGAGGCCAAAGTGGAGGAGCTGCCTCCCAATGTGCTCCTGATGAGGATCCTCGAGGGCATGAAGAATTCTGCCCCGAGGAAGGTCAGCGTGGTCCAACGAACGCCGAGGAGTGGGCATTCTCAGGTATACGAAGTCTTAATAAAAATATTATTTTGTAAAAGCAGCTTGACTTCATTTCGTTTTCGCTCGATATTCTCTCCGTAATGTCGTATGAAAAGGTTCTACTCAATAAAGTATCGAACATAGTCCATATATAAAATCTAGATAATAATTTAGATATTGTTGTGATTTCTAGCCGCAGACGCAGCAAGGTGCGCGGACGGAAGCCAAGCAGCTGCCGCCGCACGCCCGCGCCATCTACGACTTCATATCCAAGGAGCCGGGGTCAGTGTGTACACACCTTTATAATATCGATATAAAGATTTATAACCACGTATATATTTAGTGATAGATTACTTTTACCTGAGTAAAATCTTACTAATGTTATAAATGCGAATGTTTGGATGTTTGTGATAAGGTATCTCCAAAATGGTTTTCGTTGAAAGTTGGCATAGATATCGGGAAGAATATATAGGCTACTTACTAAGTTTTTTTTAATCCCGCGGGGACGGAGTTGCGGGTGACAGCTAGTGATTTATAAGTTCGTAGAGAAATATCCAAAAACTGGAAAATTTAAATCATAACAAATATTCAAATTTAAAAGAAGTCAAATTGATATTACAATTAAGAGAATTGACCCACTGACTAGATCTTTAGTCCGTGTTATAGTATACTTACAGTCCAGCTATTATGATGTTTGATATTTTAAACAGTAAAATAATGTAATATATTTATTTTACAGTGACCTGTCATTTAAAAAAGGCGATACGATTATGCTGCAAAAGAAATTGGACCATTTCTGGTATCAAGGCGAGTGCTCGGGGCGAACTGGCATGTTCCCTATCACATATGTACAGGTAAAATTCTCATAGATATTAATATTGAACTAAAAAAATCAATAATCTGTCATCGAAATATTTGACTGAATAATCTAATAATAAAAAAAAAATCATGTTTAGTTTACGTGCAATATAAATATATCAAGGCGAATGCCTTAACAACCAATTTTAAAAACTTTTTGTCCGTCTGTCTGTTCCGCAAGTCTGTGTATGTTTCGAGTACACAAGTATTTTAATATTAAAACAATTTTATCCGGCGCGAAGGACCATGTGAGTTGTATTTTGTCAAGCCAAAAAATACATATTATATTTTGGAGTCTGTTTTGTGAACGTTTTATCCATCTTTGAAGGTATGGATAGGAAGGGGAAATATTCTCTTTCTGTGCGTCCCCTCCTCTGTTAGTCTGTATAGATTTAGATAAGATTCGTTTGCATTATGATATAAAAAATGTTCAAGTAATAAAATTATTTTATTTCAGGTAGTGGTAGCATTGCCCGTGCCGACTGCATTGTGCAAAGCTCTATACGACTTCAGGATGTCCGCTCCTGATGAAGAAGGTTGTTTGGCTTTTGATAAAGGTAACTTTAAATATATAAATAAATATATGTATATAATCAAATCTCACCCCTAACTTAGGATAGGCTCAGAAACCCTCAGTAGAGATGTATAGTGAGCTGATGATGATAGAATAGCCTTATATGTATATACTGTTACAAAATAATTAATATAAATGTATCACCATGGCTCCATACTCGTGGAATTCAAAAAACTTAATTATTAGCCATGTCTTCTTCTAGACTATTCTACATCTATGCCAAATTTCAGCGAGATCCATCTTCTGGAGATACCTTCTAACAAACATACATCCATACATCCATCCAAATGTGTTTCAGGTGCAATAATAACGGTGCACAGACGTGTGGACGAGAACTGGGCGGAGGGTCGGCTGGAGCGCCGCGTCGGCATCTTCCCCATCGCATTTGTTGAGCTCAACCAGCCCGCACGACAACTCATGAACAGGTACACCTCACAATACTAAACATACTTATCATTCTGTAACACTCAGAGTCATTACGGACCACTTAGTGTGGTTTTAGTATGATTAAACATCTCTGCGTTCTGTTACTAGAAACATTCTATATGTAATTTGAGCATCGCCAGGAAGAGTACGCAATTTTTTCGAATAGAAAATTTTAAAATAGATATTTAAACTATTAAGAAATACTAAGAAGCTTACAATCCGTATAGATGTACTTAACTCAAAAACTACTAACTACTTACTTAACTCAAAAACTACTTATTACTTACTTGTTAGTTTTTTATCAAAAATTGGATCATATCTTAATAATTTTTACTAATTGAGTCTCTCTAGACCTAGCCTAGGTCATCTGCTGGTGATGTCCTAAACACACGATCAGCTGTGTTTAGTCTTAACATCTGAATATTATTAAATATTTACGAAAAAAACCATTGTATTGATTTAGTTATATAATTAATAATTTAATTTATCATTCCAGTGTACCCTTAAACCGGGCAGTACCACCACTGCCCTCTGAAGATACAAGACCAGGCCATTCGGAGCACAGGCACACTCAGCACGCGCATCGATACCAGCCTGTCTCCCTCTCCGCGCCACCCTCCGCGCACGGCAACTACCAGAACATGGCACCCATGACACCCATGACACCAAACCCACACAACTATCCTCCACACGCACATAGCATGCTAACACAACAACAGCAGATCCTAGTCCCCCAAACTGTCTCTCATGGACCTCTTGTCACTAATATGTCTAGAAATATTGTTGAACCTACCCAAACTAAACTATCGTTAGAATTTATCAATCATTTTGTTAATGTTCATAATAATAAAAGTGTTGGCATACAAAATGTGTCACGTATCAATGACTACGAACGTATGAGAGTAGGAAAATTTGAAAGTTACACACAAAAAGCAGACAACACTTACCAGAATGTGAGAACTCATGAACATTTTCCTATATCAGTGGCGAATTTCAATGCAAATAATGTCAGCTCAGATTCTAGTTCGAGTATGAACACGCCATCTGTCGGCGTCAGTTCGACAACAACACCGAATACCAGCTCAAATACAAGTACTTGTGAAAGTGCTGAACCCAGTTTACCCAGTTCACCCGACAATAATACAGAACGAAATGCAACCGTAAACGTACAGAATACGGTTCAAAATCCAACACCTGAATTAACAAATGATAATGAAGATACTTCAATAAATACTTCTATGGGAGTTCTAAGTCTTAACGAAAGTTCAACCGCGACTAACACATCGTTAAACGTCAGTTTACCACCAACAGAAAGTCCTAAAATGACAGCAAGTACATCACAGAGTCAAAATGAAAGTCTAGAAAATAATGATACGTCTAGATTAGATGTACCTTCATCTTCTAAGACTGTACGTCCCAGTGGACCTGATTCTTTATTGAACTTCGGGCTGGGTCTGCAAGCCGCATTGTCGCCATCTCACGGCAAAGATGGAAACTATTCCCGGTCTCATAGAGAACATCATAGAGAAAGAGAGAAGAGACACAGTCTGACTCCCTCTACACATCTGCAAGGGAATCATACACCGGTAAATAGGTGAGTTATTTAATTCTATATACTAAGATTTATTACATAAAGATTATATTCCAAAGGTATATACTAAAATCACTTTTTTTCATTTCAATTTGTGAAAATTAAAAAGGTGTGTTTTAAAAAGTTTCCTAATTTAACTTATTACTTATCTTAATAATATTATAAATGCGATGTTTAGATGGATGTATGTTTGTTTGTGTGAAGGTAGCTCCAGAACGACTGTATTAATTTCGCTGATCGTAGAACATAGTCTGAAGGAATACATAGGCCACTTAATAATATTTTTTTTCAATTCCGCGCGGACGGAATCGCGGGCGAATACTAGTTTATAAAATGTAAAATATACCTTTGCAGACATTCAGCTGAAATCCTAGCGACCAGTCTTCTAGACCACGCCCCAGAGAGAGACAGAAAGCGCACAGAAAGAGAGGGAGAGAGAAGACGTCGTCGTTCTAGAAGTAACGAGCGCCCTCTACCTGCAGCTTACGTCGCCATGTATCCATACAAACCGCAGAAGTCTGATGAACTGGAACTCAAGAAAGGAGGTGATTTATCACTTCTTCTTTTCTTGAATCTTTATTTGGAAAGATGTTAATTATAAAAAAAAATATATATAATTTAATGAAGTTTCAAGGACAAAAAAGTCTACCGTTTAGATTGCTGTCTATTACAGTTTTTTTTTATTATTGTTGTTGTAAGCACGGTCAAATCAGTCCCTTAGTGTTAATTTAGTATGAGAAATCTAGACTTAAGTATTGGTTAAGATATATACTAATATTATAAAGAGGAAAAATTTGATTGTTTACATTGTATATACTCCGAAAGTACTAAACCAATTGGAAATATTCTCTCACTGTTTGCAAGTTACACTATTCCCCGGTGATGTAGCATATATTTATTACTAGATTTATTTTTAATTGTGAGATGAAGACGTGTTGATCTGCTGTCATTTAATATCACTAACCGTGGGGTTCTTAGACCAAAATTCCCGTTCAAAACATATTATTATCTCTGTTTTATCAAATTACAGGGATGACAATATATTTATACAGAGATGTTAGTCTCAGAAACTCATGATAAGTATTATATTTCAGGTTTGTATACTGTAACGGAGCGTTGTCGTGACGGATGGTACAAGGGATACTCGGAGAGCACGCAGCGCTGCGGCGTGTTCCCCGGCAACTACGTGGTGCCTGCAGCAGCACAACACGCGCACCATGCACCGCATCATGCACAACCAGCTCACCATCAGACCAGACCTAAGCACGACAAGGTCACTTACATCATTCATCTTTATAAAACGACAGTTAATTAAGTTATAAAACCTCTATTCTTCATATGAATCCATCCATCCATACATTTATAACAGTAGTAAAGCCTAAGTCGATTATTAAGATAAAATACAACGATTTCACAGAAAATATACGTAAAATAGAGTTCTTCTGTGATTTATTATGTTATAAGGAATATTTAATTTATGTTTATTTATTTTTTTATATGTTTTTTTTTTCAGGCGGTCGTTCAAGCGAATCCTAAAACTACACAAGCACCTCCTGATGCGCCCCCTAGGACTGCCAGCCCCACAACTGGTAAATCTTCTATACCAATATATATAAAAAAGTCAATAAAATTGTCTATAATATTATTGCATATATCAGCTATCTTTCAGTTTAAGTCCAGATAAAACCGGTCAATCTGTTCCGGAGATTACCCGGAATATACGCGGATTTGTGACTAGACAGACAGAAATTTTAAGATTAGGTTTTTTCGATATAAGTAAAGCAAATACAGGATTTTTTTTTCAACTGTATAACCTTTAATTTCTAGAACCAAAATCTCCGTTTGAAACATATTTTTATCTCAGTTTTGTCAAAGATAATGAGAGGAATGACGATATATTTTAGAGATTATGATCTCGGAAACCCATAGATAAATACATAGTAATATATTTTCATATATCAACAGTGCAACCTCTGACATATCCATGGAGTGCTCAGGCGACTCAACCGCAAGCTGCTGCCAAAACAGACAAGGTAAATTAAAAAAAAATATATTTACGATTATTTACTACCATTTTGTGTTGTAATATTTTAATTATATACTTTAATTGATTTAACATAAAAAAAACAAACAAAATAATGGGAAAAAAATGAGTGTTCCTCCTATATATTTTCCATCTAAATGTATAGAAATTATATTTTTGTAGCCCAAAGAGAAGACGAAATCTGAGAAAATTTCAATATCAACGGGCGTCAGTCTGATGAAAAGATTGGCTGCTATGAAGAAATGCAAATCACCTCCTCCCGTGGGGTACAGTATGGACAACCCCGTGTTCGAGGACGGACCCGGCCCTTCCCTGGCCGCCCCCCACCCTGTACACGTCAGGTAAGGGTACTACAGGGTATTGAATTTTATTTTGTCGATTTGTTTGTAGTTTTGCTGTGAAATTGGTAATTTCAATTTGTAAGATATTAAAATTGTATTGTGTAAGTAAAATCTTGCATTTGTCAATTTTTTCTATGCAGTTATCATGCAATGTACAGTCTGGGCCCTTCGCGGTGTTCAAGTTACAGAAAAATTCCTTGCAGCAAAACAAAGTACGTCGGTTCTTGCAAAATATCATATAAGCAATTAGAAGTGTACCATTGTCCGACCTTTTTATGTACAGACATATTTAAAAGCTGCGTCATATTAGTTGTTTTCGTGTCATCTCAATACTTGCGAAAAATTCAAATTACTGTCCCTTTTAAAGTTTAATACCACCAAATTCCCCGACAGTACCTACAAGATTTTACATATTTATATGTTAACTAGCTGTCGCCCGCGACTCCGTCCGCGCGGGATTAAAAATAGATGTTGTCCGATTCTCAGAGCTACTCAATATGCTCACAAAATTTCATGAGAATCGGTCTAGCCGTTTCGGAGGAGTATGCGAACGAAAATTGTGACACGAGAATTTTATATATAAGATTACGTAGGTTTTTTTATGACAATTGTAATGTAATCCAGCAAAACTACAACAAATGACAATTTCCGTGTAAATCTACTGTCGTAATATTTTGATGTTGCAACAGTGGAAATCCACAGTTTGATAATACTAATGTTTGTGAATTTTGTTACTAAATGTTTGATATCACATTCACAAAACATTGCATTGTGTGTGCATTATATTTGTGTAACCTTTTTTATTGTAAAAGTTGCAATAATCCTTACAAATTTGTTATAAAAAGTTAACTTTAGTATGGAAAAATATTTCTATATTTGTGACAGATAAAGTAAAAAACTACTCGACTAATTTCAAAAATTCTTTCACCGTCAAATTACTGCATTGTACCTGAGTAACATAGACTATTTAATATTTTAAAAATAAAAAAAAACATATAAATCTGGGTTATTTTAATTATTGAAGATTATTGCAACTGAGACATAAATAATGAAATGACACCTTACTAAATTGCATTTTGTGTGTCATCATAACTAAATGGTAACCACTAGAGTTAGTAATTCCCCTAGGAATATCATAATTGGGTGTTAGTTTTATATTCTAGTAATAGATCCCCCTATAGTTTGCACATAGACAAATTAGTTTTGTTTAAATGTCCCTTGTTTTCATTGTCATTGCATCACTTAAGTCCATTGCCAGCTCTAAATTTTTGTTTTCATAACTCTATGTGCATTATTATGTTTAAATTTGTAATACGTTGGGCGTTTTCGTGTTTTATTTTACGTATCCATTTTTTAATTTCTTTATAAAGATTGCCTTAAGTCTTATAAGTATGTTTTAGCATCTCTAATATTTATTCTGAAACAGTTTTTTTTTTAATATTTTTTAAGCGGTTGTATTTTCAAATTTGAACCGCGTATTTATTGAATTTAAAAAGAGTTATAAGTGGTTAGACAGCTTTCATAATTTAAAAAAAAATTGGTGTTTTTTAAATATTTTTTTATGCGGACCGACGTATTTATTGAATTAAAAAAAGGAGTTGTCCATGGTGTGACAACAGTGTAGTGACATATTGGTGGGGAACAGGTCGGGGTCATGCCCCTCCCAGCTGCTGCGCACGCTGCCGGGGGCTGGGGGCGGGGGTGGGGGCGGTGCGGGGGAGCGCGCGCGCATCAAGGAGCGGGCCGCCATGCTCGCTCTGCACGACCACAGAATGCACAGGTTGAATATGCACTATTGTAAAGCAATAGGGCACTTTCACATCATAACTAAATAAAAAAAATTGCGGAAATTTGCTACATAACTGTATCTTTTCATTGCGTTGGCTTAGAAGTTTGATCTTTTCACAACACCGAGGGACAAACACAACATACTTGAGTATTTGATGTAAATTCCAGCTTACGTCGTTACGTCTTAACAGACGGACGATCAGCAAAGTGATCCTATAAGGGTGTTTTTCCGTTCGAAGTACGGAACTCTAAAAATTTAATTTTTATACTCGTCGTCAATATTAAGTGGTACACTTTAATTCCAGTTTTTAAAGTATTGAAGCTTATCGTTTTTATATAGAAAGTTATGTTACTTCAATAGGTTTATTACTCTTGGTTGAAGAAAAATTCAGTTAAATGTTTATGGATTTCATCATCATCATCATCAGCTCACTATACGTCCCCACCGAGGGGCTCGGAGCCTACCCTAAGTTAAGGGTGATTAGTGCAGTCCTTCACCGTAAGAACGTCGCATAAATGTACATTTGTAAATCAGACATCGAAAAACACATTGGTACATGGCGGGATTCGAACCCAGGACCTGCAGATTGCAAGTCAAATGCTTGACCCCTGAGTCACCGACGCTATCGTTCATGGATTTGATAGTTTCAAAGTTTTTGATATTAAGTATGAGATATATTTTCTGGTATTAATAAGATTAAAGGAGTTAATTAAAGTTTATATTATGTATTTCCCTAAGAGATTTTCTATTAGTTTGATGTGAAAGTACCTTTAAACGAATTTCGCATGCATAATGCAAATATAAATCAACTTAAGTTCGCATGAATAAAAAAATAAAGCTGCAATAAAATAGATTTAACATTTACATAAATAAAAATAACTATTGTATATAAAAATAGGATTAAGGCTTTTTAATCATCTTTAATACTAATCAAGCACTATCTTGTGACGTCATTGCATTTGTTTTTTTTTGTTTTTTTTTTAATATAAGCTTGTGGCTAATCGCATGCTTTGCTTGTTCCATAACGCACTAATTCATTTCATATTCCTGTAAAAAGAAACGTCAAATAAGGTAAGATGATTTTTTTTTAATTGATAATCAAATTAAAAAATATTATTTTGTAATTTGTAATTATATTTAATAGTTCTTAGTTTATATACATACGGGGAATAATTATTATACTGCTACTTACAATGTCGTTTTATAGTGAAAAAGGGTCTTGACAGACGGACGGACAACAAAGTGATCCTAAGGGTTCCGTATTTTTCCTATTAGGTATGGAACTCTAAAAATGTATATTGGTTTCTGAGATCAAAAATCTCTGCATAAAACATGTCATCCCTGTCTTACATCTTTAAGAAAATAGAGATAGCAATATTTTTAAACGGAGATTTTGATCTCAGAAACCGATGCTTTCTCACTAAAGTGACAATCGAATTCATTTTTGAGTTGGACAGTCATTATTTTTTTTTTGTCATTTATGTCATTTTGTTTATGTCACATAATTCGTCATAATTTTTTTTACATATTTTTATTAATAATTATAGAATTTTTTTAACACATCAAACGCCATTGAATCGCCTGGCGAGTATTTAAAATCATCTTAGCACGGAAAGTGTTAAAGTATGTGTTATACAGAGCGAGCAACGAAGGACCATGGCAGAGCCAGCATCGCAAGTCGCAGTCACTAGACGTGACAGTCGCCCGCCGTGACAGGCATCATGCGCAACCTGTCAAAGAAAGGTAACATTGTCATCATTATCAGCGTACTATTGTCATGAAAATGTTGACCGTAACAGAGATTCCACTTTTTATTTTATTATGTACTTGCTGTCGCCCGTGACTTCGCCCGCGCGGGTTTGAATAAAATCTTAGTAGCCAATGTGTTCTTCCAGACGATTTTCTACATCTATGACAAATTTCAGCGAGATCCATACAGGTGTTCTGGCGATACCTTCTAACAAACATACATACATACATCCAAATATTTGTATTTATAATATTAGTAAGATTAAAACAATTTATAGATAAAATTTGCTATTTTTTTTTTTCGTAAATTTAATAATCATGCGAAAATCGTGTTTTAAAAGTGACCCATTAGTTTTGACATTGAGTGTAGAATTTTCTTAACACAGATTCCGCTGTATAGCACCTTACCCGCCCAACTCTGAGTACGAATTAGAGTTGAAAGTGGACGATATCGTGGTAGTGTCACGTAAGCGCGGCGACGGTTGGTACAAGGGCACGTTGCAGCGCACCGGCCGCACGGGACTCTTCCCTGCCTCATTTGTACAGAGCTGCCCTCATGAATGACATGACACCCACAGTTACTATGATACGTTTTACTGACAGAAAAAAAACCCTACTTTAAGTCTTCTGAAAAAAATATAATAAATATCTTGGATTTTGAAATATTTTGTATACTTCCCAAGCATAGGTAAATGTAAAGATGTGTTTTGAAGGTCACACGTCTGCTATACGAATCTTGAAATACTGTTGGGACCTGGTGAACTAACATAATTGCTTATTCTGACTAAGATGACCTTATAACCGGTTTTTATAGTACTTTTTTTTTCTAACACCATGCGGTAAATATTACGTATGACTGATTGTCAATACTCAAAAACTGTCAACTAATTTAATCGTTTTCATGTTATTTAACTGACATTTCGTCTACAAATCGTGGGTTTCCGAGACCAAAATCTATATATAAAACATATCGTCACCCGTCTCATTATCTTTGATAAAAAAGAGATAAGGGAACGTACCCATACTCCGTGACCCGTTTAGGGGGGGGGGGGGGGGGGGGGGGGGGGGGGGTCCGTAAAGTACTACGGTCAGTCACAGGAGGGGGTTTGCTCTGGTTTTTGTCACGTAGTGGTTAGTTGTTATTTTTAATAATAAATAATTCACTAGTAATTTAATTATGCATACTTATGCTATAAAGAAGAGTATGAGCCATTTTTTTTTTAATTTTTGCCTGTGGAATGATTAAAGATGTTAATTATGAATTACTACGTAAAAACTAAAGGGGAGGGGTCTTGGCATGTACTACGAGTAGTCACCGAGGTGAGGGAGGGTTCGAAAAAAATAGTTCACGTAGTATGGGTATGTTCCCTAACAATGTTTTAAACTGGTATTTTGGTCTCAGAAACCAACGATAAATCTATTGATTTCAGCAAAAAGAGGAATACAATTTTATTATTAATGTAATAGATAATTTTTTGATTATCTTATAAAGAATAAATGCAATTTACATCACAATGTATTTATATAAGGTAAATAAATGGTACTCAGTTAGTTAGTTGCCTAGCAACTAAATAATGAACTTAAAAATAACTAATTAATCGTCATTAATTTAATAAGATTTTAATAAGAGAATTTTTTAACATTAAAAAAAATATGTTAAATATAGTGATAGATTATTTCAATCGATAGTAAAATTACAATTTTATTATCTGTTTAGACCAGTGTTGCCATTTTTGTGTACAAAAAAAATTAAATTTCAATTGAAATGAATAATTAGATAATGAAAATTATATGTTGGATGTAGTTTTCAAAAATCTTTCTATTGTTTGTATTTTGTAAAAAAAATATTTTACGGTAATTTTTGGTAATTAATAAATTTAACTGAGGGCCAAATGCATGTCCAGTGTGCGAAGTTAATGTATTTTTATAGAGGTAGTACAAAAAAAAAATAACTTAAACAAGGCACTTTTATTACTCGTATATTAAAAGAAATTTAATTTTGTGTCAAAAAAACTTTATAAAATCTTATTCTTTAATAAATAAAATTGTAAATTTTTTAACGATAATACGGGATACATAAAATATCGTACTTCATAGAATTAGGGTGACCATAGTTAACCATATTTCTGTGGCCGTAGAAAATAGCAATAAAATAGCAACTACAAATATCATATTTTTATCAAAACTTGAACAATGAAAGCAACTGCCTTATTACATACCTGGAATGGCTGAATTAGATGTATAGTTTTAATAGGAATTTTTATTCTTACCATTTGATAAATACTACTAGAGGTTGCTTAGAAAAAGATATTTGTCTTTATCTTTCTTATTACGATTACGAGACGTGAGAAAGAGATGGCACGTTTTATAATCGGAATGATATTAAAGGTTTAGTTTTTAAAATGTTAGATTTTTTTTTTAATGTTGGCAACACCTCTAGTAGTAGCTCCGTTTATTTACTAGGATTAGGATATGTTTTTTTTAAACAATTTTAGATATGTAACTTATTGTAGGCGAATGGGTTTTTGTTCGTATTTCTCCTTTTTTAGTATTTTTATGATACCTTTTAGGATCACTACGCTTATTACGTTTAATTTTTTTTTTATAACGACACTGCCATATTATCTTTCGTCGGTAACTTTTAGTAGGTTAGTAACATTTTGACAGATTAAAAATTTAAAAAATAATTTCATAGCCGTTTTTCAAACTTAAATGTTTTAGATTAATTTAGGATAAATTTTAAGCAGTTAGATGTATTTTCAAGTTGTATTTTTAACCCGTATATTTTGAAAGCGAAATTTGGAAATTAAAAAAAAAAACTGAAATAAAGACTGTGTGTTAGTTTGTGTTTTTGGGTATTTTATTTATTATGGTATTTCAAATTTAATATATTTAATTTTAATGTTATTTTAAAAAATTCGCGATAAAATATATAAATTTTTCGATTTACGTATAATGTAGTTTTTAAACGTAACTTGATTGATATTACTGGCTGGCACAAGAAATTAAAAAAATGATCTGTTATAATTTAAAAAAAAACGTATTTCTTATTTTTTAACAGACCAGCTACATATATTTAGCTATTTTTATAACCTCAATGTACAGATTAAAAATAAAAACCCGCTCAAGGATATTTCAAAATCATTTTGTAAATTATTAATTAAGTGTAAAAATATGTCTTCTGTTAATACTTTTGTACTATTTATTGTTTTTTTTTAGAGATTTTTTTACCTAATGAAAAGGTTTAAAAAGAACTGATATGTTTGGTATTTATTTATATTTGGTCCTATTTTTTAAATTAGCTTTCGCTTTATTGTGCTTATGCGTTTATGTTTTTTTAACTAAATTTGTAATATTTGCAAGTTTTTCAAAAGTTGTCAAATATGACTTTATACATCTTGGTTTTTTATCCTTGTAAGAAATCCGAGTTTTTTTTACAAGTAGTATTTTGAAATGCATGACGATATTTTCAGTGGGTAGTTGCAGAATTAATATTGTAGGGTAGTTGGATTTTATATGAAATAGCGTTGAGTTTTGGTCGAATTTGTTTGTATGAAATGTTCACACTTATTTATAAGGTAAACCATATCGAAGAGTTGATAGGTATCTTTGAAGAGAAATAAACAATTCTTCTTAAATTAAATGTTTTTTATTTTACCCTTTTGATGATGTAAGGAAGTTTGTAAGAGAAGAGACAAACTTCTTACTATATTATATTTTTTTTAATATATTTGTTACGATATTCCAACACTTAAAATTAAAAACTTAATTATTAGTAATAAAAAATAGTTTTGACTGAAAACTACTTTAACTGCTCAAAAGGAGTTAGGTAGGTTTTACATTTAACCGTGGGTTTCTGAGATGAAAATACCCGTTTAAAACATATTGTTATCTCTGTTTTTTTAAAGATAATGACAGGGACGACATGTTTTATACAGAAATTTTGGTCTCAAACCTACGATTAGAAAATTAAGTAATCTGCCATCTCGTGGCACAAACTTGACCTATAGTTAATTTATTTCAGCTTTACATCACTGGATGGCGCTACTGTACTACGTACTAAACGGCTTTAAATGCCGAAGCACACAAAATATTGTGTTCCTTTTCTATCTCTTTGAAAATGACAGAGATAACAATATGTTTGTTTAGTATTTCGGCACAGAACACCAGAGGGCGTTGTATCACATCTATTACCTTTCCTCGTGCAATAACCTTTTTTACCTAGATCGATATTACCTACAAAGAATAGGAACTACGAATCGTATATAAATAGCTTTACTATGTAAGGCCTTAAAAAATTAGGTTACCTCCACACAATTGCAATTTTAAAAAGCTCCTTTCATTTCTGGCAATTAGTCCACGCTCCATTTTCCTCCTACATAGTTTTACAGAACAAATGCTTATCTAGAATTGGAACGCCCACGCCCACTTGCATTCAGAATATAATCTCCGTCCGCCATTTATAGGAACATAAACATAAATTATCGAATTGTCTAAAAGACGTATCACAAGACAAATTGGACCTTTGTCAACATTAAACTGAAATTTAGGACTTAAATTCAGACTTATTTATCATAAATATTATTAAAAATAGTTTATATTTAATATTACATATGTACATTTATCCGAGGTTCTTACGGTGAAGGAAAACATTGTGATGCAACCTGCACATATCTGAGCAGAAATTCAAAGATATGTGTGCAGTCAACCCGCACTTGGCCAGCGTGGTAGACTATGGCCTAATCACCCTTAACTTAGGGTAGGCTCCGAGTCCCTCGGCGGGGACGTATAGTGAGCTGATGATGATATTTAAAAACCAACTATAATCCTAACCTCAACTTTTATTTCAATAAGATAAACGCGGCAAAATTGATTTGGAACAGAGCAAAAAATGAAAATTAAACTCTGTTTCAATTTTATACTCTGTATACATTACAAAGTAAAATAATATTAATTGTCAAGTCTTTGCTGGGTGGAGTTGATTAATTGGTATTGATTTAATTTTAGATGCCTCAAAAATTCACAAGTACAAAGATGTCATGGCGCGTAAGTAAATTTAAATAGATCTAAAACCAATTACTGCCACAAATCGTGGCTTTATACTGTCAATAATTAAATTCTTTTGTTTAATTCTTTAGAACCTGTTGATAATCTTTAAAATATCGTAGGCGGCCATTTTGTTTCTCCATTGTTCAGTTTTAAACCTATACTTTCACTCGTCGATTGTGCGTCGTAATTATTTGACACCGAAAGTTGTGATTGCTTTTGAACAAAACAAGCGTGGGTCGGAATTGCGCAGAAAAAAAATATTCAAAGAAATTCTGTACTTATGCGTAGGTGTTTTCTGGAATTTGAAGCATTACTTTTAAATAGGAAGTCATCAGGATTTCTTTCGTTTGTCTTAAACAGGTGCTTGTAATCGAGAAAACCTTTTTTGTGGTTTCTCCCAAAAGTCGTGCTTCACCAAACTTATAATACGACTGTCCATGGAAAAAGTAATTTGAAGTTACCACCTACGCAAGTTAAAGGTCACGAGATGTCTTAAGGCACACACAATATTGTTTACTCTAGTATTCCGAGGTTATTTTATTCGAGAAAATTCTATTTTTAGAAAAAGAAAATGTCACCTATTTATACTAATATTATAAAGATAAAAGATTAGTTTGTTTGCATATAATTCAAAACTACTTAATGGATTTTAATTCTTTTACTATTGGGAGCTACATTTCTTGGGTGACATACGGTATATTTATTTATCTTCATCAGCTCACTATACATCCCAACTGAAGCGAGCCTATCACCACCTCAAAGGTCGGCAACGCATTTGCGGTTCCTCTGGTATTGCTGATGTCCATGGGCGTCGTTGAACACCTCGGTGTTCCCGCTGCTCGTTTGCCCTCTTCTGTTATAAAAAGGGGGTCAGAGCGTACTAGGTTACTCGGCCTATATTTACTAATAGAGCCTACATTTATTAGTAGATTTTTTTTTAATACCGAGCAAACGAAGTCGCATGTAACTGCTAGTATTATCTTATATATAAAATTCTTATGTCACAATTTTCGTTCCCATACTCCTCTGAAACGGTTTGACCGATTCTCATGAAATTTTGTGAGCATATTGAGTAGCTCTGAGAATCGGACATCTATTTTTGATCCCGCGCGGACGTAGTCGCGGGCGACAGCTAGTAGCATACATGTTCTTTTTTGAAGTTTTTAAATTTTATTTCATAATATTTTGAATGGAATGTCTAACACGAATGTAGTTGTAATGTTACTTGTTTCCGGTCAAATTAAAAACTCAAATTAATTTCTAAGACTTAAAAATTACATAATTATAATCTTATGTGATAAGTAAAAAAACACGTTAAATTGCGTAATTAAAAAAACAGCAAACTTGAAATACTCGTTAATTTAACAGGTCGGTAACCGTGTGTTCTTTTTAGGAGTCTTATTATCTTAATTGCTTTTAAATTTGCAATTAAAAACACTTACGGGTTTACTTTAATAAAGTTAAATTTTTCGTACAAATTATCGTGTTAAGTAAACCCATTTTGTTGGGGTAAATTACTTACAATAAAAAATTACAATTCGAAGTTTAACTCTTGATTAAACGTCAAACTTGTATGAAACAATCTATCTGTCAAGTCCAAAAAGTTCGTCTCCGTCACCGTCAAATGACTCGTGAGTGACACATTTCTTTTTAAATACACGAATGAAATTATTTGTTATCTTTTGCCGAAAACATTTCCGTTAAACAATATAAACTGTGTTAACGTCGGCCATTTTGAATATCCGTCATCTTGTAACGAACAGTGCGTGTTGTTGACATCAGGTGCGGATGCGGTCACGTGACACGTGCAAAACACACGTGAATTAAACGATACCGGGTGATATGTTTGTGCTGTTTAATACAAAACGTGAGAATATCGCGAGTTTCCATTACAGAAACATATATCGGAAAACATTCTAAACAATAACGAATTAACTAGTGGTTTAAATATAACTAACCTAAAGCAATCGAAAAGATATTTATACAAATCTTCGGAATTTTAAATGTCAATGATCTATAATTGTTTTCAGTCGAAATAGGAGAGACCAGAAAGGAGTTTCCTCTCAACTTTTCGCTCTCATACTAAACTAAGTATATTCATATTAATCCAAGTCTCATATTAATCCAAGATAATGTTGACAAGGGATTCTGTACTTGATTATAATCAGCTTAGAGACAGCTTGTTTACTCTCCACGAGGAATTAACGTCACTCCGACTAAGTAATTCGGTACTGACGCAAACAAATTATTACAATTCAATGCGTTCGCATTAAACGATGCAAAACGATTCGTTCGATACAGTCATGCGCAAAAGTATATTTGACAAGTTGACATGTCTATTTACAATTTTTAAAAGGTAAGTATTTTAATATATTCAGATACAGTGTTATAGAAAAGTTTTTTGTAGTCTAGTGCGGATTAGTTTACTTAAAACACGTCTTTATATTTCTTTTCAGATATATGCAGATTACACGTAAGTTTTCCTTTATCGTATTTTTAACTATGAAATTCTTATAAAATCGTCAATTTTGAGTGTTATCACAACTTTAGGTCGCAATGACTAAATGACCTAGCTAGCGAAAACATCGATCCAACCTTTCAACGTAGGTCGGTAAAACGGTTGCATCGAGATAAACGGTGTGTCGCCAATGTATAGAACACTATCGCTGCCTTTTTCATTTACTTGGAAAAGTACAGAGACAACATGATACTACCAAATTTATAGACGAGAATTTTCATAGACTATTATTTTAATGTATACTTTTTTAATTTTAGTGCCAACAATCAAATGTAATTCCAAATTCAATTTTTTTAATCTCTGCCCATTTAGGTTGCGTTCTATTTTTTAAACATTCCTTAAATTATTCAACTGTTTTAATTATAATTCTCGATACGGTTGGACCGTTCATCATTTACATCGCTAAACAAGTTTTCATATATGTTATTTAATGTAAGTTTTCATAGATATTACTTAAATTATGTAATTGTTTTTAACCGACTCCAAAAAGTAGGAGGTTATCTATTCGTCCGTATGTTTTTCTTTATTGAACTCAATACACGAACGACCAAAACAGAAATAGTGAATTAAACATAGTTATAGGTAAAACATATTAAAATACACATAAATTAATTACATTATTTTAATAAAAAAATCATTTGAAAAAAAAGTAAATTAAAAAATAGAGCGATAGAGATAGTGTGAGGGAGAGAAAGAGAGACTTCAATTAATGTAAAAACTAAACGCAGAACACAAAACGCTGTATTCAAAACAGTTAAAACTGCGCACTCTTTCAGCTCAAATAGAATAAAAGAAGAATCTTTTTATACTTAGTACAGGTATTACGACAATGGAAACTTACTGTAAAACGTTACATAGCAATAGATTCAAGTATAAATCGGTTATAACATACATAAACTGTGTCAACCATGTTTACTCGCTTCTTGTCGGTGTACGAACACGAATATTTTACGTAATCGTGTTTTTGTATTTGACTGTACGTAACATGTCTGTACTCTTACTTATGACTTCTAGCTTTCATATGCAGCTCCGTGCCTGCAGAATTAAAAAAACCTAATTAGTCTATGTTCTTCCAGGCTATGTTCTACATCTATGTCAAATTTCAGCGAGATCCGTGCAGCTCTGTAGATACATTCTAACAAACATCCAATCATCTATACATCTAAACATTCACATTAATAATATAAGTAAGATTGATATTTTAACTATGAATTTACTAAGACGAAGTGGATTTGAGATTTACGAATAAAGGGAATACGCATATAGTAGAATACCAATTTTAAAGAGTGGGTTCTCCTTAAATTTGTAATCTCTAAGTGATAGTATGTCGAATTTATACTTACAGTAACCAACTAATTTTTTTCTGTCTAATTTATATCGTAAGAAACAGGTGGTTGAGAGTATATGACGTTCTGTTAAACCTTTGTCCTCCGAGGTCAATGTGCCGTCTCCGTGAGTCAGCTTTTGCGCACTGTTTTTTTTATTTTAAATTCCAGACACCTCTGAATTATTGAAAGTGAACAAAAACAATAGGTTATCGATTTTTCTAAGCTACATTTATCAAAATGAATTCGTAAACGTAAATCAAAGATAAAAAATTGCCCCTTTTTCCAAAGAGTATATATACTTTTTTTTTTCAAAGAGTATAATGTTAAAATTTTATAAAACCGAATGGTAATAATTTATTTTGTGATGAAAAAGGCCGTGAGACTTTCTATATATTCACTCAATTTGCGAATATTTTTGATCCGTTATTTCATGAACGCAAAATTACATCTTGTCTCTTCATCATTTTAAAATATAAAGTAACCTTATAGGTTAGTTACTATTTTTAATACAAAAACATCTTTCAACGAATCTTTGAACTTTTTTATGTTCTTTAAAATTTTTTTAAGTTTAATTTAAAAGAAATACGACAGAATTAAATCTCTGTCTAGACGGATGATTATAAATATTTCATGACTAGTCTAGACAAAAGATGAAGTTTAAAATTAAACATCGTATTAATTATTAATAGAATATACTTTTGTTTATAAATTTTAAAATAAAGCGATATAAAGTAACTGACGACTTGAATTTGAATCTGTGAAAGCTTTTAAAAAATAAAAATTTGAATAATTATTTATTTGACAGATAAAAAATTACAACTGTCGCCCGTGACTCCATGCGCGCAATTAAAAAAAACATAATGAGTAGCCTATGTGTTCTTCCAGACTATGTTCAATATGTGTACCAAATTTCATCCAGATCCTTTTCAGATTCTCATTTATAATATTAGTAAGACCTTTTTAAAACCAGTCCAATAATTTTTGAGTTCATTAAGTATTCCTTATTATGGAAATCTTATGTTTGTCTCCATTTTTATAAAGAAAATGTAAGAGATGATGATATTCTTTTTTAAATTTGCATTAGGAGTTAATACTTCCGATAACACTTACATTATTTAGCATATAAAGGATTTAAAGGTCAAACAAGGTCACCAACTTTATTTGAATAGCTTTTCTGTTTTATTGGACAAAAACTAGCACTGTGTCAGTTGGTGACGACCTTGCCAAGGTCGTATTGAGTCGACACATCGCATATTAAACACAGACGTCTGTTTTTCACATATATTAAAGTAAACCAGTTTTATACAACTAGCGTTCGCCCGAGACTTCGTCAGCACATAAATAAAAAAATAAAAATAAATCGTCTATGATATATCCCCGTAGATCTGCTACCTTCTCGTCAAAGTCAAAATCGGTCCACCTATTCCGGAGATTATCCAGAACAAACGCAGCCTTGCGGACAGACAGACATAAGATTTTTAAAAATTGTTTTTTCGCTATCAACACTTGACATATAGATACCCCAATTTTATTACTACGTATAGATTATTTTGTTTCTGTTAATTAAGTTCGCTTAATAGATTTTAAATGTGAATGAATATGTCTTTTAGAGACATAGATGATAGGATTTTATTTTTAGCGATATCCAAGGTGCGTATTTTTCCCGCTAAACGAATTGGCTTCCTTAATAAAGGGTCTGGACAAAAAACTTAATATGTTTGAAGGAAATCACACAAAACACCAAATTGTCGGGAATCGTATTTGCGGACTGTTTATATTTAATGTGTAATAAATAATTTGTCATTTACTTTGCGAAAGTATCTTGCAAATGTCAAATGAATCATAACAATATATTTCATTCTACTACGAACTTTGACTATTATGCTAATTTTATGCTTTATAGCCTACTAGCTGTCGCTCGCGACTCCGTCCGCGTGGATATATAAAAAAAATCTTAAGTAATTAGTGTAATCCACCCATCCATCCATCCACATCACATCCATCTAAACATTTACATTTATAATATTAGTAAAGTTAATGAAAAGCAGCTCGGAAGGCATAATTTCGAAAAAAAATGAATAAATAGTATCCTATGTCCGTCTCCTGGCTCTAAGCTACCTCCTCACCAATTTTCAGCCATATCGGTAAAGCCGTTCTTGAGTTATAAACAGTGTAACTAACACGACTTTCTTATATATATATATATATATATTTTAATATATATATTAGGTGTTTTCAAATTATTTTGTTGTTCCTTTAATAATAAAGGAAATTGTTTACAATTTAACTTTTAAAAATGAAAATATTCTGACAGATATTGTCGCTTATTTACTTACATTATTATCGCCATGTTCATTTAATTTTTTATGAGCAAGTAAATAAGATTAACGTATATAATAGGCAGATATGGTACATTCTCTTGTTAACCTTGAACATAAAATTGTAAGGATAAGAGCCTTTGTGTCTGTCGATTTTAAACACCTAAGAGTTGTATTAAAATATAGTCCAAGACCTATTAAAATAAGACAAAAGCTTCGTCTGTATTTTATACATGCAATATTTTATTTAAATTAACTAGAGCACAGATAAACTAATTTGTAGTCTATGTCTTCTTCCAGACAATGTTCTACGTCTTTGCCTTATTTCATCAAGATGCATTGTGTCGTTTTGGAGATACCTTTTAACAAACATCAATCCATCCATCCAATCTTTCGCAATTATAATATTAGTAAGATATACGTAGATAGATTGATAACATACAATAATTTCTCAGTTCGTACGATATCAACGGTGTATAGTATTAATAATGGCTTTATAGATACTGTCGACCCCATGACCGTCGCCGTCGTGGCGACGACCTTTGCAAAGGTCAGAAGTTCCCGCTGTGACCCCCTGTATCCGTTGTCTAGACGATCTATAGCGAACGCATTTAAAGTCTGAATAATATCGTTTTATTTTACCATCATACCAAAGTATCATTTAAGACCAATTTAGGTCTTTTAAAATTCTAGAATCTTACTATTATATAATAAATGGATGTTTGTTTTAAGGTATCTCTAAAACGGCTCAACGGATTTCAATGAAATTTGGCATAGATGTAAAACATACACTGGAAGACCACATAGGAGTCGCGGGCTACAGCTAGGATAATTCCTTGCTATCTTTATCCTTCTAACTTGAATTATCTAGATCAGATCTTTCGGCATTCTTATGGGTATTTGACAAAAGAATACGTAACGAAAAATTAACGTAACGTTAACGTAATTATTACAATCTAATATTTTATGGCTAACTCAAGTATCGAAAGACAGGTTGTTCTTATATTGGATTTAACATTTTTCATCCGCCCGATAAAACCTACGACGAAGTGAATGCAAAACCGATTCCATCCGAACCTACACGAAGTTGTCTTCGGGTCACAACGCACTTGGTATGAAACAGGGTAACAGTAACAGGGGATTGACTTCAGTTCAATTCAGACGCCGAGGGGAGAGGACGTGTTTCTGACGCACGCGCTGTAATGCGAGCTTGTGAAAATCAAAACAGGGAAATGCCGACCGACATTATGCCGAATTGCCGCGCGGAGCAGTTCAGTAGATACAAGAAAACTTGTGATGCTGAAGTGAAATCCGGTTTTCTAGTTTTATTGGGACCGGGCGGCTTGCGGCAGGATGTTAGAGTGGTTGTGTACAGAACATCGCTGGAACACTTCGCTGTAATATACCCGAGGAAGCGACTTTCGAAGCCTATAGGAGTGGTGAACCTGAGGAACACAACAGTGGAGCGCGTGGCGTCAAACGGTGGCTTCTTTGTAAGACAGAAGGGATACGATAACGCGATATCCGCCAAGTTTCTCTGTTCTGAAAGAGATATAGATGCCTGGGTGTCAGCTTTTACTTCAAATACATCACCAAATTGTCATCATCACGCCAGTTTACCGGTTTTAGTTGAAGCAGAAGAGAGTTAAACTTTTTAACCGATATTATTGGTTTTTGTTTTCGTTGATAGAATCCCTCTCGGGGAGTGTATTCGTGAATCTCAATACGAGGTTGTTTATTTTGCAATGGGATGTGAAAAAGTGAAAGCGGTGTTTTTTTGCGAGCGCATGAAAGTGTTCTCTTTATTCAACATTATAGATTTGTAATGAATCATAGAGTTGTTGCTCTAATTTGTTTTAATGTATAATGTTACCATTATGAAAAAATACGTAAAAATGTACTCCATTCTCATGAAGACTTTGTATAATTTTATCGTAATTCATTTCGTAATATACAAGCCTTATTTTTGAAGATGAAAAAACGCAATATTTCTTCCGCTTAAAGGCCTAATTATGCTTCCTACCAACATATTTGTATGCATTTTAACTGATTGTGTAAAGAATGTTGTTTTAAAATCCGTGACTAGTTCTCAAGGTCTATTTGTAAACAAAACCCAGCAACACACATTAATATTTATAAAACTTATTACATTAGTATTGCACAAAGCATTAATCTAGTAAAATATGCTACTTTAAATATTTATACATCACAAATGTAGTAAAATTTTGGAAAATAATTATATATTTGTGTTTCAAAATGCTTACTTGAATGTTTTGGCGGCAAAATTCTTAATTTTGGTAACAAATGACACTTTATGGAGCAATTTTTTTTATTCTCTATAATAACAGTTATTCTTTGCCATTGTTTGAAAAAAAAAACTATTAGTGATGTCTTTCATCTTTGATATTAATCGATTAACAATTTGTGCGAGAAATTGTGTATTTTTTTTGTTTTCAGATTTATATCTGCAAATAAATAAATCTAACAATTTGTATGTTTAAAAAATTAAATCCTCGTTAATTGAGGAATGTAACGAGAAAAATCTAATTTGGAAATTTTTATTAGCATTTACAAAAATTATAATTGTGATAGTCGTAGCTCTATTTTTTATGTATACTGTGTCGTTGACTGAATTGTTAGAAATCAAAAAATATTACATTGACTTGGAGGAGGAATGGTTATGAGCTATGAGCTTATCTATGACCGATGTGAATAAAATGTAATCGTAATTTTGAATATTTTGACAAATTTAGATTTTTAATTAGAAATACAACTTTAATATTGTCATACAATTAGATGATAGATTCGTAAAACAAAAAAAAATAACTTTTAGTCACAAAACTGATGGATGTGAATTTTGTTATAGTTTTTTTAATTTAAAAAGTTGTTACCGTTTTAATTTTTAAGGGTTCAAGAGCAACAAATTGGCAAGTTTATTAATAAATACAATAAGAACAATTTTTTTTCTGTGTTTTAAATATTGACATTAAATAACAATCTATCGACATATGGATTTAAAAAAAGTAACTATGAGCAAACCTTTCACAACACTAACTTTATCTGTCAAATAAATTTTGTCAAAGAATATTTCAAAGAACCTACGTTAGGTATAATGTCTTCTTCAGAGAATTGTATAATCTATTTTAAATTAAAAATCTAAAGTTTTTTGAATAAAAATCGATAGAGTTAGGTAATTTTAATTTGATTTAAGATTTGTATCTGTGGTAACATGGAACGTTTATGCTTAAACTGAATGTTTAAATAAATAAAAACGTTTGTAACCTATTTTCAATTTCATAATATTATCTGGAAATTATTGTAAAATTTTCTTAATTAGAACAAAATTTGGTCTGATCTCAAAATAGTTATGTCATGTAATACTTGATCACAAATAAAATGTAATTGAAAACTACATGTCTTTTTAATTTAAAAAATTAAGAAGTTTTTTTTAAATTCCTAATACCGGTCAAGGCCTTCCCAGACGTATTTATACCGTCTAGGTTGAAATACTGCATCTATGCCTAGATATATGAATGAAGACAGTTTACCACAGACAGGTCTCAGAGTGATAACAACCAATGGTTAAGAAAGTTTAATAAATGAAGTAAAAATCAACCAAAACTCCTGCTACTTCTAACGATGAAATGTTTAAACCTAATGGAGCTGTAAATCACGTTTTAATATAAGCAGTTTTCACAAAGTATTTTTTTATACGAGCAAACGAACAACGGTTCGCCTAATTGTAATAAAGACATTTTTTCATCTTCTGTTTTATTTTTCTTATTAATATGGTATAACATACTCTTTCACCACGTCTATTAACGTTTCGAGATAGTAATTTTTATAGTTCCTAACTGTTACGATAACAATTATCGTGTTATTCACACCAACTGCCAAATAACACGTCGTTTTAAGTTAACGATCAATTTAAATGCAAGTTTAAACTTTTTCACAAGCATGAGAATTATAAGAAAGAAAAGTGTGGCCAGCAACAAAAAAATAAAAATGAATAATAATTCGAATTTCATAACTGTCATGATAATTTTGATATTCGTCTCAGTGTTCTATCTAGTTGTTACATTTAAACCTCTAACAAAAGAGGAACATATTGAGAAAATTAATAAAATGAACAGTGAAGTGGAACCATTCAGAAGAAATATATCAGAATGCGCCAGACAAGTTAAAGCGGGAATGGGTGACGTCGAAAATTTCTTAAAACGAATACCACAAGCTACTATGGAAGGAAAATGTTTTGTAGCTTGTATTCTTAAAAGAAATTCTATTATAAAAATGAATAAAATAGACCATAATGCTTTATTGGATGCAAATAAAGCTGTTTACGGTGAAGATAGTGAGGTTATGACAAGATTAAAAGCGGCGATAAACGAATGTAATAAGGTTGTCGAAGGTATTTTTGAAATCTGTGAATATGCGTCTGTTTTTAATGATTGCATGCATATAAAAATGGAACATATATTAGATAAAATAACTATGGAGAGAAGAATGGAGGCATTAGGACAAATGAGTAATAACCCAGATGAATGGACAGATGAGGAAGATGAAATTTTGAAATTAGTAAAAGATGAACTATAATTAGTATATAAGATTAGAAATAAACTGATATATAAACACGGCTAAACACTCACGTATATTCGTCCGGTGGCGGCACCGACTAGTTTCGAGCCCATCGGGGGCCCTTCATCAGGATGAGTGGTACTGGTATTATTTCGCGGACGCGGCCCGTCGCTCACTGCTGTTTCACTCACTGTGTTTATATATCAGTTTAGTATAATGTCTCACGAAAGTTTGAATAATTTAAAGATTAGAAATAGTCCTGTGCGTTTATTTTCATACAGTTTTAACATGTTTATAGAACTTTCGAGAAAGATTGTGTTATTCCAATGGTTTTAATATATTTTGATTTGTTATGTGATTAATTTAATAATATTATTGTCTTTGATTATTTTTAAAGACTAAATATAAAGCATCTTTTATCGTTTTTGAACCAAATAGGTATGTGTAAAATATAGTACTTAATTCTGTATTTGAAAGAAAATTCGCATTAAAAGCGCAACTGCAGTGTACTTATAATTGTAATGAAGGATAGTTTGAAAGCAAAAACGAATAATTTTATTATTTTATTTAATAATTGTGGTTAATATATGTTTTACATATAGCAAAATTTAAACACGATATATTTGAATGGGATTTTTTTTTAATGAAGAGAGTGAATCAGTTATTTTTATTAAAAGTTAAACTTTGATTAAAATTGATTAGAAATATTCATAATTCCCTAAACATGTATACATCAAGATATATTTTATAAATTCATGATAAGTATAAGAAAAAGTTCGCGTCAAAAAACACATTTCGATAAAAAGATTGAAACATATTTTTAATCTATATACTGTAGAATGGAGAGTATAGATTAAAAATTAATATAAAATATCATTCTTATAAAATAAATATACAAAAATAATAAAATCTTACAATAGGTAAAATTATATTTTACAAACATTTAAATTAATATTGTCGCAACGCGCATATTTTTAGGTTAGAAATAGATCCAGCTAGACTGGGTACTACGTAATATGTATTTGAATTATTGATTTCCACTCCCTTGGGGTTGGTCATGTGCGTATTCAATGCTTTTCAGACCGAGTTGTTTGCAACAAGCGCTACCCGGAGTGAGATCAGTGAGGTTAAACTCACTCTGATCGAACCCTTCGTTCAGCATGAAATCGGCAAAACACTTTTGAAACTCAACCAATCTGTTCTGGGAATGCTGATCAAGGGATACTGAAGCGAAGGCCGCGCACAGTTGGTCATCTGTCGACAATTTCTCAGCATCTTTAATCCTATCTTCAGCGTACTCAGGAACGCAGTTGCATTCTCTTATAATCTTCTTCTTGTAGAAGCAAATCCTCCATTTCTGGTTCTCCCTATCAAACTTCTTGATGCAGACGATTCTCAGGATGACATAGTCCAGATCATCCCTCGAGCAAAGAGCACTCGACCCACCGTTCTCGAATCTGTTAGGAAGATACTTTTTGCGTAGATTTTCACATCGCGTTATCCCGCCCAGTTGATATTCATCAACAGTTAATTCGTATATCGCTTGTTTTATTATAGCGGAATAACAGTCTCGTCGAATTGCCATTATTTTACAGTTTTTTAATTCACAATTTTATGGTTAAATTATAAAATACGTAAGAATGAAAATGGTGCAAACGTTACGGCGTTTTCCCCAAAGTGTGTTTATTGATTTTGTCCGGCGACAATGTTGCTACCCCTTAGCGTAATGTATTTTCCCGCGAAAATATATCGTTTGTCTTTGGTTTGTTTGGAATTAGATTTTTACTCTTTTTATTTTCAACTGCATTTTTAATCTACAATTTTGTTTATAATTTCTATAAAGTATCAAACATTAAATAAAGTATTATGAGAAAGGGGCGTTGGTTATTGATTTTTCACAAAGGACGTGTTCTGGTGCAGATAAGTCATAGTGGGTTTCCATTCAAAAATATTCATATTACTTTCATGAATACATTTTTTAATTCAAAGCAGGTTTTTGTTTACTAAAAATACGATTTTAATTAAACCTTTCGAAACGCGCTGATTTGCAATAGTTAAATAGCGGGAAACCATCAACGATGCCATTAAAAATCTGTACCTTTAATCATTACGATATTGGCGATTTTATCACTGTTAGAGGGAAATAAATTCTTGGAATATTTTGACAATGGAAACCAACAGAATATTAACAGATGAAATTTAATTTCAATTATAAACTCCATAGAGTTTGTAAAAGAAACCCTATATAATTTATTTATCCTTTCTAATCAATCATATTTTTTTTAATATGTTTTACGCTTAGTTTTTTTAATGTTTTTCTAAGGTAAATAATATTAAAGAATAATATAAATATTTAACCCTGTGAAGATTAAGAAGGAATCAAAATAATCGATGTAATCAGGAACAGGGAAATTAAAACACATTTTTTTGTTATATACAAAATTGTAACAGAACTTTTTTTTTTATCAAATTATTTATATTTTACACAATTATATACTTTTAGTAACAAATATATGAATAAACAATAAATGTGGTACAAAATATTCTATTTTTTTAGTTAAATAGTCAGTTTACAAACTGACTGCAGACACTGAATTTTTCTGAATTAGTTTCACAGATTATCTAAAAAGATAGAAAATAGATTTTTATCTAAAATGGATTTTTGATTAATTTACATATTTATTATAGTGTTATTTAAAACACTAAGACATTTAACATTAAGTTAAATTTTGTATTAAGATTTTGTACAAAAATCTATACAAGGCCATAGAAATATAAATTTCCAATTATTATATAAACATTAATAATATACGATCTTCATGCTTTCATTATCCTATTAAATTAAAAGAAATCAAAGAAAAAAAACACTTATATTCTGCATACACTTTAAACACTTTAAAATGTCACTTTCACTTGTAGTCACTTTAAGTATTTACGTTTTATCACAAAAGAGGGTAGACAAAAAATGTATTATATTTAACAACAATTTTTAATATATAAAAAGATTTATACGTTCACTAGCTGTCGCACGCGAATCTGTCCGTGCGGAATTAAAAAAAAAACTTAATAAGTAGCTTACGTGTTCTTCCAGACTATGTTCTATATGCCAAATTTCAGTCCAATCCTTTCAGCCGCTCTGAAGATACTTTCAAACAAAAATCCATCCATCCATCCACACATTCACATTAAAAAAAAGAAAAATCCGGAATGCAATACTTAAAATTACCCACAAATTTAAAGAAAAATTGGCTATAAATAGGTGCTAAATATTTTTAATTTCTGTCTACCCTCTTTTGCACCTGATATCTATACAACGTAAATGTATGTATGTATTTATGTATGAAGGCTGGTCGACCTCCTAGCGCCAGTATCATTGCTTGCCGCGCTTGCCGGGCGGCTTCTGCAGCTGGAAGCTGGAGTCATTCTGCGCCACTGTACCGAAGCTGTTGAAGTTCAGTGACGAACTGAAATTATTCTGTTGCTGGGGTTGCCAGTTGCCTGAAACATTTATATAAATCTTACTAATATTATAAATGCGAATGTTTAGATGTATGGATGGATGTTTGTTAGAAGGTATCTCCAGAACAACTGCACAGATCTGGATGAAATTTTTCATAGATGTAATATATAGTCTGGAAGTACACATAGCGTACTAATTATTTTTTTTAATTCCGCACGTACAGAGTCGTGGGCGACAGCTAGTGCGTGAGTGAACAATGGCACGCTCCAGTGGAAATAGTAAATACCCAGCTCATAGAAATATAAGTCGCGCGTCTATCGGCTTAGTTAAAACAGGGTTTAATCACTGACCTGTACCATCTGCGGTAGGGAAGGGAGACACAGCTGTGCCTAAATATGTGAACGGTGTTGGACCTGCCAACTGTTGAATGTTGCCTGTACAAAAATATATAAATTATTATTTTTATCACAATAAAAACATGTAAAATGAAAAAAAAATGCTTTTTAATATTTTATAGACATACTAACTGTTGCCCACGACTCCGTCCGCGCGGGATTATAAAATAGATGTTGTCCGATTCTCAGAGCTACTCAATATGCTCACAAAATTTCATGAGAATCGGTCAAGCCTTTTCGGAGGAGTATGGGAACGAAAATTGTGACACAAGAATTTTATATATGAGATTATTGTGTATTCATAAACTATATATATACTATCTTACTAATATTATAAATGCGAATGGATGGATGGATGGATGGATGTATGTAAGATATATCTCCAGAACGGTTGTATGGATGAAAAAATTTTGGCAAAAATGTAGAACAGTCTGGAAGAACACAAAGGTTACCTATTAACATTTTATTAAATTAAAAAACTCGCTAAAAAAAACTTACCCAAAGCAGCCCTAGGATCAGACAATACAGCACTGCCCAGACCTAGACTAATGTCTTGTAAAGTATTAGGTTTCAGTTTCTTCCGGGACACCTCAGCGTCATGTAAAATCTGATCTAGACTTGCGCTTGCTGGAACAAGAAACAACAAAATCTTACTAATATTACAAATGCGAATGTTTAAATGGATGGATGTTTGTTAGAAGGTATCTCCGGAACAGCTGAACGGATCTTGCTGAAATTTGGTATAGATGTAGAACATAATCTGGAAGAATACATAGGCTATTTTTTTTTTACACGGACGGAGTCGCGGGCGACGTCTAGTTTACTAATATTACTAAAGTATAAGATGATAATGTGTAGAGGAGGGGACCTACAGAAAGGGACATGTGCAAATACAATGTATATGGGCCGCGGACACTTTTTTCAACGCAAGGATATTTCCCCTTTCTTTACATCCCTTCCTCCGCAAAATCCACGTACCGTTCCATTATAAGTGTGGAAAGGGATAGAGAAATAAAATTCGTAACTAACCTGAGGGTGTATCAAACACATTAGTAGGGTCTTTAAGTACATATTTTCTGAGGTTGAGGTACTGCTCTTTCTGCGCCTCCACCTGAGTGTGAACAGTCTGCAGGCGGCCTGCCAACGCCACCAGGGATTCATGCATGCGACGTATGCCCAGGGTTAACTCTGAAAATTATAGTATAACTCTAATTTTATAAAAAAAAATTGGTACAACTCAAATTTTTCAAAAATTTTTTTTGGTAAACTAAAATTGAATATTTTATTGTTCTTCATTATAGATTAATTTGTTGCAAATTAATTACATGAAAAAAAAATTGGACGATTATATATTTTTTAATTTTACTAACTAAAGACTAGTATCATTTATTCTTAAATTCTTTACATACAAATTACTAAAATATAAGCAAAAATTACTAGATATTAATTTCTACCCTCCCTAAATATCAAAATTTCGAGCCTAGGACACGTGCCTTGACCCGAGGCTTTGTAGAACTACAGCAGTGATATTTTATTACCTTGTTCAGTGAGAAGTTTGGGGGCGGCCTGCATCTGCTTGTCTGCGACATCCATCTGCCTTCTGAATGTGATCAGCTGCTGTTCCAACTCGCAGATCAGATCCTTTATGTATTTCGGTGGAGCACTGCCTTCCAGCTCTGAACCTGATTTGCCAAAAAGAAAGTTGAGTTAGCTACTTTTTTCTAGTTTTTTAGTAAGGTCTTCAGAAAGAAAACAATCCTAAAGTTGTTCAGATGGGCTTCTCAGAAGACCAAATCGAAACCAAATTAAAAAAAGATGATGATACACAATTTTGGTGAATATAATTTCACTAAAACTACTAAAACTTATAGATAGAAAAGTACCCAGAACTTCAGTTGGCACGTCATTCAAAGGATTACTATTATTTTCCACGTGCCAACTCCAATAGTGGTTATTATACTGACCGGGTGGGTCTCTAGCAGCTGCCTCAGCAGCGGCGAGGGCGTCCGCAGCAGCAGTACGCAGACGTCGGGACTGCGCACGCGCCTTGTTAGTCTCCCCGCGTAAGGCGAGCGCAGCACGCAGAGTCGTCTCTGCCTCACGACCAACCTGAAATATACACAGCGCAAACATCTTAGTAGTCTTACTAATATTATAAACTAGCTCTCGCCCGCGACTCCGTCCGCGTGGATATATAAAAAAACTCAACATAGATAAGTTAAATAAAAAGCAGGTCTTCAAGGCATAAATTCGAAAAATAGTATCCTATGTCTGTCTCCTGGCTCTAAGCTACCTCCTCATCAATTTTCAGCCATATCGGTAAAGCCGTTCCTGAGTTATAAATAGTGTAACTAACACAACTTTCTTTTATATATATAGATGCGAATGTTTGAATTTGGGAAACTAATGATTTATGAATAAAAATATACAAATAAAAACAACATTACCTTGTGTAAGGGTTTGATAGACAGCCGCATAACTTCAGAACTGAGGGACTTCTGTTTTTTAACAAACTCTTTAAATGTATCCACTAAAGTTGACAATTCATTCGGTAGTTTTGTTTGTTTCGGTGGTTCAGCTGTAACAAAACAACATTTTAAATCTTACTAATATAAAACTTGCATGGATGGACGGATGGATGAATGTTAGAAGGTATCAGAACAGCTGCATGCCAAATTTCAGCAAGATTGCTGAAATTTGGCATAGAGCATTGTCTGATAGACCACATAAGCTACTATTTTTTTAATTCTGACGGACGGAGTGGCGTGCGACAGCTAGTATACATAAAGGAACAAACTTATTAGAAACCCATCTTACTAATCTTATTAATTGCAAATGTTAGGATGGATGGATGCTTGTAAGAAGGTATCTCCAGAACAGATTATCAGATCTAGCTAAAATTTGCCACATAGACCACTAATTAATATTTTTTTTAAATTCCGTGCATACGGAGTCGCGGGCTACAGCTAGTATTAAAATAAATAAGCAAGAAAAATATTATAAACTTACATTTACCATCTCCTGTAGTATTTGTAGCACCAAAAGTAGATGTTGCCGCACCTCCCAAACCCAGACTTGGGGTTGCTGCAAAAAAAAACGTATCACATTTTTTTAATTGGTAAAATTTTCTTTTTAGCTAAAATGTGTACACCATTCCCTTATACAAGTAAATAATTAATTTTATATAATACAATGAATGTTCAAAAAATATAAAATTTACCTTCAAACTAAAACCTACTAAGAAAACTTATATCTATTAATTTATATTACACATAAATACTTTTATGTAAATAAATAGTTAAAATATTATTAAAGAAATGTAATATACAATTTTTAAATTGTCATATGCTACTAAAGTTATAACAAAAAAAAAAACAAAAAAAACCATGCAAATAAAAAGAATATACCTGAAACAGAAGGTTGTGTTCCAGACACATTACTATTGAGTGTACTAAGCCCTGGAATAATGACAAAATACTAACTAAATAAAAAGAAAAAAAAAACCATCCCAAAATAAATAAGACAATCACCCAAACAAATCTGGAGGAAGAAGCCAAGAGGACATGTAACATGAGCTAATAAATAATATTACTAATATTATAAATGTGAATGTTTAGATGTTTGTTTGGAGATATCTCCAGAACGGCTCAACAGATCTCGATGACATTTGGCACAAATATAGAACATAGTCTGGAAGAACACAACGGCTACTACTAAAGTTTTCTTTCAATTCCACGCGGACGAAATCGCGGGCGACAGCTAGTTTAATATAGAAACAACGGTAGACGACAACAACATCTATTGCAGGAATAGGCCTTGCCCGGTGCAACACCATGACCACACAGAAGGCATGCCTCAAATGCAAACTCATTACAACTACAGTCTGATGAGTGTGCATTCCGGAGGCCTAATTCTATTTCTCTTACCCTCACCAGACTTTTTAGTAATGAAAGGATGGGAAGAGGACGTGGATTTGGCAGAGGAAAGCATGGGAAGGGAAAATATTCTCTTTTTGTGTCTTATATTGATTAATGGTAGGTAAAACATCTGCTATTACGGATGTCTATGGGCAGCGGTATCTTCGCTATTTTGGCGAATTCAAGTCACTTACTTGCCACTTAAACACAAGTTTTTACACAGCATTGTAGTTTGTCTATGTTGTGTTATTCAATATTTCAAAAGCATCTTACCCTTTGAAGGGCTTAAAGTAGGATATGTGTCTCTCGTAGCACTTTTTATAACATAACCTCTCTTCCGATTTGCATCCGTTTCTATACCTTGGTTGTGTACATCCAATGATATTGTAGGTAAAGTATGAACGGTTTGGGTTAAAGGGAAGAAGGGAGATGGTGAACCGTGGTAGGGAAACATTATACTGAAAATGGATAATTGGTAGGATTATTTAATATTTTATAAAAAAAAATAACTATGGTACGAAAATAGGCATGGAAAAGGAATAGGCATACAGTCAAAGAATTAAATATGCTACCCACAGAGGACTAATCACAGCAAAGTGTCACCATAAGAGCTACAAATAAACATGTTATGCCTAGTTTTCTACTTAATTACATCGTGAACACCAAATCAAATTTCATCAAAATGGGCAGGAAATATATATCCTTGACTGTAAAGCACAGTTTAACATGGATAAGTCATTGTACTGTCCTGACAGGATCACTCCATAAGCAAGAAAAATATAGTGGTCACTCTCGCTTATCTATGTTTGACTTTATATCTTATTACAAAGAAATTCAAATAAAATACTAGTAATAAAGCAGACATTATAAGCATTTTCCTTGAAATATTATCATCGTAATTGCAAGATATTGTACCTCTTTTTAACAAACTTCAAAAAGAAGGAGAAAGTTCTCAATTTGTCTGTTTTTTTAGACTATACTTTGGTCTGTAATGTTCCTTCTATTTATGTATTATGCGTTTATCTTATATCCTTACCAAAATTACCAGCAGCGGTTGTTGTGGTACTGGTATTAAATAAACCTAGTCCAGTCTGAGTAGTTGTGGTTGTACCAAAACCAAATCCTCCCAGTCCAGTCTTTGTTGCAGGAGTTCCAAAACTCAAACCTGAAATAGTTTAAATAAATTTACTTAATATTACAACTTAGTTTATTCCCCTTTCCCACCCTTTTTCTTATAAGGAAAGGATAGGAAGTGGAAGTGGACTTTCCGGATGAGATGATGCATGGAAATATTTTCTTTCTGTGCATCCCCTCTTCCGTCGATTAAAGGTAGGCAATGCATATGCAATTGCATATGTCTATGGGCAACGGTCGCTTCACTATTTCAGTGATTTCAGGTGGCCACTGACTCGTTTGCCACCTTATGATATAAAAAAGAAATTTAGGAATAATAGTATGAAATAACTTACCAGTTGATGCACTTGTGGTTGCTGTGCCGGCACCAAAATTAAGGGAACCAGCGCCTAGTCCTGTGGTGCCAAATGCCGGGGTACTTGTGGCACCAAATGCTGATGCACCTGCCGTACCTGAATATTACATTGGTAATTAATACCTTAAATTTTATGACAGTATCTAATAGCCATAAAACTACTTACCAATTCACATTTATGTAAGAAAAGCATGAAAAATAAATTCAGTCAGTTAATTTTAATGAAAACTTTATCTTATCTAGAACAAAATAGTAAAAAAACCTCTATAAATGTGACTTATTGTACTGTCCCAACAGAAAACATTTATAAGTGAGAAAGCAATAAGCAAGAAACATATCATAGACCATTGAAGTCTCATTAATCCAGGTTTGCTTATGACTTTGTCCATATGGATTAAAAAAAATATACAGCAAAAACATAGCTTTTTAATGAGAAAAGATTTTTTTAAATTGGTCCAGTAAATTTTTAGTTTAATGATTTTAGTATAGTATAAGTAAAATTAGAAATTAAGTAGATATTATAAACATACTAAATATACATACCAAATGCTGGTGTTGTAGTGGCTCCAAATGCTGGCGCAGATGTACTTGCCCCAAACGCAGGAGTTGCGGTGGCGCCGAAAGCTGGTGCCGTAGCTGTGGCACCAAATGCGGGAGTTGCGGATGCTGTACCAAACGCAGGTGCCGCAGTGGATCCAAACGCCGGCGCAGCAGCGCTAGTACCAAAAGCCGGTGTAGCGGTACTTCCAAACGCTGGTGCTGCAGACGTAGCGCCAAATGATGGAGTAGCGGTTGCCCCAAACGCAGGCGTTGAGGCACCAAAACCAGACGTAGAACCAAACGCAGGAGTTGCGGATGTATTCCCAAATAGTCCCGTCGAGGCTTGTGTTGTAGCCGTTAACCCAAAACCAGGAGTGGCTGGCCTAAAAAAATATTTATCATTTCAATTTTAGGTTATACTCAATTGTCACTTTTGAAAAGTAGATTGTTAATCAAGTCTTTAAGGAGGTTGTATTATGGTAATTGTACTTACTTGTTTCCGCCAAAATTAAAGCCACTACTTAAAGAAGAATTAGCAGGAGCGCTTGACGGTGTTCCAAATGAAAAAGACATAATTGTAACGGACTTTGGTTTCTATCACTATTCATAAATTACCGCAATAACCATAAGCCAGCCGTACATAACACAGGAAGGCCACTACAAATGATAAACATTTGTTTTTACTTCATAACTTAAGTTTAAACTTTTAATTCAATTCAATCAAAAACTTTTGATTATAGATGTACAGTTGTAGATGCAGTAGGCACAGTAGCTCAACTCGGTAGTAATTGGTAGCAAATTAGACAGTGCAATGACAGTATTGCTAGTTTTGATGTCTAAAATCTTCATATCGGTAGGTTATTTTAAAAACGATAACGTTTATTAAAATTTATCATGATAAAAAGCAAATTTTTATTTGGAATTTATAATAATTATTTAAATTTTCAAAACAAGGATTACACCCAATTTTTAAGTAAAACTTTTTACCGCCTAACCTTTTTGTATCTTACAGATAAAAAATTAAATAAATTTGACATTTTCCGTGACAACGAAATTGTAACTAAAATAATTTCGCTATCCATGATTTGTGAAAAATGAATTTTCTAGTCGGAAACCTTTCGAAATATAGTAAAGCGGTATTTAAGACTACACCAACTCGAGAGGGAATTCAATTCCTTACAATTAAATACCCGGAACCTGCAATAAAAAAATACCAACCTCCTCCAGTAACACAGCCGAGGAAACATTTAAAACGACTGGTAAATGGCCACATGAGAGTAGAATCTGGTTATAGCCATGGTGCTAGAATTTTAAATTATTTTCAATACTAATAAAATGTAACAAACAGTATATGATTAGTTTTTTTTTGCTAAAAACCATTAGAAGATATATTTTCCATTTGAGCTCATAAATATAGTATTAAGGAAAGTGTAAAATGAAAAGCTAACTATTTTTCTTTTTTAGAAAGGTCAACAAAGATGGAAAAATCTTTTGTTGTAAAACTTAAATTACGTTTTTTAAAGATTTATTAAGATGTATTGGATACGGTAATTGGTACGAGATATGTTCCTTTAAAAATTAGCACGATTTAACAAATTATTAACGATTAGAGAAATGGACAATTCTCAATACTCTGTCTGCTTTTAATTTTGCGTTAATTCAGAGAGATCAATAATTCTGAATTAATTTGACGAAGGTCACAATGTTCTTTCGCCTTTGCCTGGAGCTAATGTTGACTTAACTCGCTAGAGGGCACTTATTTCAAAGGTGTCATTTTTGTTGATAATTTAATTTTTCACTAAATATTTAATTTGATTGTTTGAATATTTCAAATTTGTTAAAGTTGTATAAAGTGTCTTGTGTCGAAACAATTGTTTTCTATAATAAAGTTTTGAAAGAACATAAAAATTATGTTTTCGCTACCATCCATTAGTGAAAATTAACAGTTAAAGCTATTTTTCTTTTATGTAGGTAAAAATGAAATAAATATGTTCTAAAATACAAGAGAAGCATAAGGAAGAAGTCTTATTCAGTGCTCAAGGTAATAAAGTTTTCGCTTTATCCGTATTTTCGTTCCGACAACTGAGAGCGATGCAGTTTCCCCTAGGACCGTAGCATTGAAGAAATCCCTTGCTCATTGCAAAATTTCTGGTTTTGTCATTTTATGATTAAAATAATGCAATGTATTTGGTATGGAAGCTAGAAAACTATTAAAGGGTTAGTAATTTTTAAGCTTGATGTTTTAAAATTTAGGTACTTTTCGATTTTATAAAATAAATTCCTATTATTATATAATTTCATTTAAGTTTTTATTTAAATGTAAATTACTTAGCAAAAAAAATACTACAAAATATGTTTGTAAGTTTACAAAACTAGACGAAAAAGCAGACATCCTAAAACACGCTATCAACTTTTTTCTTTACCCTCGGTATATATAAATAGGGTTAATCTACCCTTACAGGGGGTCCGTTTCTACACAGTGAACTAGTGATGGGTACAGAACTATTAAATCGTATCCAACCCAACCGCAAGCATGGAGTAGTGACCCATGCCCGGTTCCTTAAATCCTTTGGGTGCAAACCCACCGAGATGTCATGATTCTCGGCTTATTGTCGTAGCAACCCAAGGCTTTAATGTCTTATTCCCGACCGAGGTGTTCAATAAACAACTTCTCAACACCACTGTTGTAGAAAATATGACTCCCTTTTTTATGAAAAGTAAGAAGTATTGGATGTTCCAATACAATGGCATATTATAGTAATATCAAATATTGTAGAAAAGTTTTGCTAAAGCAAAAAATTTAACTTTGTACAAAGTTACAAAAATCCGCGACAAGATGAACGTGAAATTCTACAAAATAATTAATAAAAAAAATCGAAGTAGGCATTACGATCGAAATTCGAACAATCAATCATGATTTTTATAATTTTGTAGTACACTTTACTAATAACTATTTCTCTTTAGATTTAGGCATTAGCACAGTAATTTTTATTTATTTCTAGACGTGTTATCTATCGTAAAAATCAATTTTATTTTAAAATATACTTGTCTTATAAGTTAGGACAAGGTAGAAATCTTCGTAAGACCTTAGGAACATAACTTTTGCTAGTGCTTCAAAGACTATGCTGCGATGCTGTAAGGTCATTAAATATTTTATTTCCGGTGTAGCACTCCTCGGGGATTGTAGACTACACGTTCTACGATATTACGTAGAAGCGTCCGTAGTCACCTACGTTCACTGAACGTAAATACTACGAAAGCTTGTAAGGACGTTAAATAGCCGTTAAAGATTTACGATGTCACTGGCCAGCATCTGCGGCTATCTGGATCGATTCCTAGCAGTTCTAAAAAGTGTTCAGATCGCTGTGGGACCAAAAGTGCCCTTATATAATATTTTTTTATTTTAAATCATCGTCACCGTCATCGTTGACTTATAAAATGTACTTTTTTTAATCCATGATTACAATTTGTTTGTGAACTAGCATAGCTATCGCCCGCGACTCCGTCCGTGGAATACAAAAAAACTTAATTAGTAGCCCATGTGTCTTCTCAAACTATAATACATATTTTCTAGACTATGCCAAATTTCAGTGAGATCCTTTAATGATTCTGGAAATACCTTTTAATAAACATCCATTCATCCATCCATCCATTTAAACTGCGTTTATAACATTAGTAAGAAGTAAGATAGGAATGTTTTAATTTTAATTTTGTTCAGTAGTCAAATTATTTTTTTTATTTTAGACCGAACTTTAAGATTTCCGATGAAGTGTGTATAGATATTGTTTGATATAAAATGGAAGTTTGACTTTCCTCAAATCTGAATGGAAAGAGAGACGAGCCCGCGGGCGCCCTCTCAACAAGTTTAATTGACTTTCGAGATTTTTAATTATGAACTCGAAGAGAGAGACACCGAGCGGAACGAATCTTATACTTCCATCTATTATGAATGTACAGTTCTTAAGAAAATTATTCTTTAAAATATAATACGACCTAGTTTTATTATTCGGCTCTATGTATTTGAGTTGTGTAGGTTATGTAGATATTAAACTACTCACTCGTTAAATCAAATAAAGAAGGTTTTATTTACGTGAAATATAAATGACACGAACAATTAAATTTTAACCGTGGCTTTCTGAGAATAAAATCCCCTAAAACATATTGTTTATGTTTTTTCAAAGATAATGATATGTTTTATACAGGTACTACCTGTCGCACGCGACTATGTCGAAGCGGAATTGAAAAAAAAAATAATAAGTAGCCTATGTGTCCTTCCAGACTATGTTCTACATAATTGCCAAATTTCACCAAAATATGCTCAGCCGTCCCGGAGATACCTTCAAACAAACCATCCATCCATCCATCTCAACATTCGTATTTATAATATTAGTAAGAAATAAGATTATTATCTTGGAAAGCAATGGTAAATAACATAATTGGACGACTAAGAGGGTAGACAGAAATAAAAGGTTTGCATTTGACGTTGTCCAGTATCGTCTCTTTCAAATTTATCCATCTACATATACTTTGGTTTCGAGCTTACGTTGCTATATTTTTTTTGGTAAACAGGTACAAAGAAGATTTGTAGCAACATAAAGTGTACCCAGCCACCTGGTACAGCGTCGGAGCAAGTAATAGCTGTATCGAATTCTCCAGTATTTATTATGTAAGTAATCATTTTTTATAAGCTTAACTTTCTAACAAATTATGCGATAAATTACAATGAAATATACCTGTTGCATGTAACTTAACTATTTTTTTTTATATCACAAGGTGGCAAAGGAGGGAGCGGCCTCCTGAAATCGCTGAAATAGCGAAGTGACCGTTGCCCATAGACATTCGCAATTGCATATTCGTTGCCTAACTTTAATCGATCGAAGAGGATGCACAGAAAGAAAATATCTTCCCTTTCCATGCATCCTCTCATCCGGAAAGTCCACTTCCAATTCCCATCCTTTCCTAATAAGAAAAAGGGTGGGAAGGAAAAGAGGACTAATTTTGGCCTCCGGGACGCACACTCATCAGACGAAACGCGGAATTTCTTCCACTTCACGCCTGCCTTCTGTGTGGTCGTGGTATTTCACCGGGCGAGCCGGGCCGATTCGTGCGAAGATTTTAAAGCGGGCTCTACCACTGTTAAAAAATATACTAATATTATAAATGCGAATGTTTAGATGAATGGATGGATGTTTGTTAGAAGGTATTTCTAGACCAGCTGCATAGATTTCGCTGACATTTTGGATAAATATATAACAAAGTGTAGTAGGACAATAGTTAAATATATATTTTTTAATCCCGTGTGAATGGAGTCGTAGGTGGCAGTTGTTTTTATCATAACAGTCTTCCTCAGTTCGTATCTTTGCTTGTAACTATGACATTTCAGTTTTGTCAATATGTGAAAAGAAGAAAAACTAATAAATTTTTCTCAAATATATTTCTCAAATTTTGCCACCGATTATAATTTAGTGCATTTTGCAATAATGTTATTTTTTTAAGATATCTAACTGAATAACTCTTCGTCGGATGGGTCGATTTATGTTTAAAAAACGTTTGCATAGCGTTCCTTCTGCACCTCGTCCTATAGCATAAAATGGTCGCAATTAACTGCAACATCACTTAACACATTGCTTCCTAAACCGAGAGAATGTGCGGTCACTTTGGACTCTATTGTATAAAGTTAGAGGTGATATTGCTTTGAAAGAACAACCCGGAAAGATTGGGATTTCAGTCTTTGTTGTCTAGCGACTAGACGGCCGGGGGTTGGGGGTGCGTTTTGTTTTATTTGGCCAGACGCGACGCTGCTGTGTGCGTGACTGCATGTGTAGGATCGATGACTCAGCATTATACACTTTTCAGGTTTGTTGAGTTTTTTGACAAGTGTTTAGACGTGTCTGATGTGAAAGTACCGCTGATATACCAAAACACTGGTCGTAGTATTTTTTTTAACCTTTTAATACTGATTTAAGATGAAATAATATTAGCTAATATTTAAAATCCTATTTGACCTTCAAGATATATTATCGAGTGTTATATCAAACCAGTTAAGTAAAAGTTTTGTATTTTTTTGATTGACCTTTAAGTAACAGTCCGTAGACATTTCAATACTTCAAAAGGGATCGTTGCATTAGATGTGTCCGGAAGGGCGCAGTAGAGAGGGCCGCGGAGGGCTTTAGAAGGCGCGGGAGGGCGCGAGAGGGCAGGGAGGGCAGGCGTCGCGACGCATCGATCGGCACCTGTAGCCGCTACAGCCACTTCCCGAACCTTCACAACGTAAACAAACGCGTTACTCAGTTTATTTTTCACATTTTTAACTAAATTAATTGTTCCTCATATTTTATACAAGCTTTATAAAAGCTACTAAGAATTAGACCTTTGTAAACAAATACATTTATTATCTACTATTCAAATAGAAAGTTTTACTATTATTATAAATGCGAATGTTTGGATGGATGGATGTTTGAATGTATCTCCAGAACGGCTGTATGATTTTCTGTGCTGATCTCGCTGAAATTAGGCATAGATATAGAACATAGTCTGAAAGAACACATAAGCTAGTAACTAAGTTTTTCTTCAATTCCGTTCAGACAAAGTTGCGGGCGACAGCTAATGTTTTTATACAGTTGTTTAGATAGTGGTAGATATGACTAGACTTCAAGTTTATGTTCCGCCGTCGTCTGCATTTTATTGCGTTACCGATCCTTTGAGTCCACTTTCAGTCTAGGAAATTTCTCAGACACATAAATTACGTTTCACGCTTCCCCTTCAAAGCCCTTTCAGTTGTAAAATGAATGTCTGAGTTCTGTAATTAGTTTCCTGCTGGATAAACCACGATCAGACTGGAAATGTTTTTTTTTAAATAAGTGTATATTTATGCTTTGATTATCAGTCTCGCAAGAGGTGTGTTTTCATAAATCGTATGATACAAGCTGTTGCTCGCGAATCTGTCCGCGCAGTATTTAGTAGGCTTTGTGTTTGTCAGACTATGTTCTACATCTCTGCCATCCATCTTAACATTCGCATTTATAATATTAGTATGATTATTATGTTATAGATAATTATTTTACAAACCAAAACACTAGAACCGCCGAAAAATGAATATAAAAAATTTTCGTTGAGTGCTTATACTATCTCGAACATTCGCACTCTTAAATTCGACACACCACAACCAATATCCGACGACGTTTATATTTAATAATAACAGCACCGACATACAAGGGGTGAGCAGGGAACACAAAAATCGATACCTGTCTGCGAGGGTGCTGCCCTCGCGAATGCCCCTTGCATCCATGTACCAACATCTGCATAACAATTGGACGCACGAGTCTATGTACTTCGAAAATCAATACAGAAGGTACTGTGAGTGATAAAAATACTTATAAGGCCATAAACTTATGTCATCAGTTTACGGTTACGTCATAGGTTACGGTTGGCAGGCAAAGGGTTGGTACATTTTGGGTAAAAGTTTTATGTCTACTTTTGGAAATGACAGTCACGATAATGTACTTTAACATGGTTTTCGAAGTGGTTTTATTGTTTCAAAATCACACATAATCCTGTCTTTAACCGAAAAAATTCCTTTCTGATTCAAGAAAAGTCCAATTTTAGCGTCATGTTATGTTTTAAATCAAATATATGTAATTGTCGTTTAACCTTTTAAATGCAGTTTCTTATTATAGATTAAAGTATAGCTCGTATGTTACGTTTGTCAATAAACGTATATGATCGCTTTAATCTGCTCACGTCGCGCGCACGCCGCTAAGTGTAAATTAACCCAACTCATAGTCGACTCGAGTGCCTGTGATTTGTAGTGGTGGGATATTCTCATGTCGTACGATATTTTACGAAATGTCACATATGTTTTAGTAAATCTAGTAAGGTCTGTTACTTGTTTAGATTTTAGTACCTTTTTTCCTTGCTTACTTATTACCATCGAATGTTTATGTAAAAATGCAAGAGATGAATGCTTTCTTTAAAAAAAATATTTAAAAAAACATGGTACGTAAATAAAAATGTGAATTAAATACATGCGTTTTTGGTGGTAAATGTTACAAAAACTAAAAAAAAGTTGATTTAATGTAATTTATCTGGACTTGCTTGTATTATATTTCTAGTGTATGTTTAAGAACGAAGGCAATTGTCATAAATATTCGATTATCCCCTGATCAGGAGATTAAATATGTTGTAATAGTCTTCTTTTGTTTGTGTGTGTGCGTGTGTGTTTTTTTTATATTGTATTATAAATGCAAAAATAAACAATTTAAGTGAAATGTAGTTATTGTAAAAAAATATATATCGAACACTTACAGAATAGTCCCCTAAATAAATTCAATATGGAGAAAATCAGTTCTAATATTATGGTAGCGTAATGCTGTTGACACATTGGCATCGAGTGAGATCCTCTGACAGTCTTACTAACATTATACATGCGAATGTTTGGATGGATGTTTGTATGAAGGTACTTCCAAAACGGCTGCATGGATCTTAATAAAATTTTGCACAGATGTAGAACATAGTCTGGTAGAACACATAGGCTACTAATTATGTGTTTTTTATTCCGTTTAAACGGAGTAATAGCTATAGCAATTTCACTTTAAATTAACATAAATCAATTTGAGCTCAACGTATCAATTGCTTGCTAATTTAAATAATTATATGCAATTTAGTACAATCTAGTTTGATATTAATGCTACAGTATTTAGTTTAATCCTAACGGAGAGTTTCCATTGTTTTTCACTTCGTACAAAAACATGTTGCTATCTCTATATTTATAAAGATAATAAGTGAGACGACAATGTTTTCGGTGCTGAAATGATCAGGTGTAAAGCAATGCAATTTGTAAATTAGGGAATGTAATTAGTGGTTGAAATTACCAACATCAAACATTTGAATATTCAATGATTTCATTAATGTAATACAGAGCGTCGGTGGCTCAGTGGTCAAGCACTTGACTTGCAATCTGCATATCCTGGGTTCGAATCCCGCCATGTACCAATGTGTTTTTCGATTTCCGATTTACATATGTACAATTATCCAATGTTCTTAAGGCGAAGGAAAACATCGTGATGCGACATGGACATATCTGAAAAGAAGTTCAAAGATATCTGTGAAGTCAACCAACCCGCACTTGGCCAGCGTGGTTGACTATGGCGTAATCACCCTTAACTTAGGGTAAGCTTCGAGACCCTCGGTGGGGATGTATGGGATAGCTGATGATGAATTTTAGATCTGTAGTTAGTATGCTTCAGTCTCTCGTTACTCTTATGTTTTCGTTAATATTGTTAACTTTACACGATTGCCCCGATGTTTTAGTGGCTGTGTATAAGTTTGTTCCTTTGTTTGCTTTTATACATTGTATGCCTTGACAGATTTTAAAGAAAGCTATTCTTTTGATTCGAATTTTTCCCGTTAATTCCATAGAGGTACAATCACTTTTTTATTTACATTTATTTTTTGAAAATAAAGGAAAAAGCATTAAATCGAATTTATAAGATAATTTAGTTAATGAAATAGTGAAATAAAACAGTCTAACAAACGGCAAGAAAGGAAAGTATATTTGAATAAATTGATTTTGTATAAGTAAAAGAACATTCGAAATTCTTTCTAAATATAAAAATATAATAATTGTAAAAAAAAACGTAAACACAAAAGGTTCGTTTGTGTCGATAAAACTTATGGATATCGATAATGTTGGCTTTGTGGTGCTTCCCATCACTATTGCATTGGTCGACCGTTGCGTTGTGTCCAAAACATTGACGTTGTTCCGTCATATTTGATAACAAGCATGTACGGGGTGAGCAGTAAACACAATCGATACGGCCGTCTAGTGGGGTGGTCTGTGCATCTGCATTTCAATCGGGGGGAGTGCATACAGATTGAGTTTACTAAGGGATTTATTTTATGTGAATTGCAAACCGTTTCGTGTGATGATTGAACTTCCCTTTACAATGTCGCCATGTTGTCCTTATGTTTGAAGTTGACTCATTTAAGACATGCGTAGACGGTGGTCAAGATTGCATCTAGGCTAGCTTACTAGCTTACTAGCTAGCTCCTCAAGGGGCATATTTTTATCAGTTTGGAATGGTTGTTGCGTTGAGTCTTAAGTAAACTTGCACAAAAATTCAACATTTTCTTTTCCTGTTGACATCCACAATTTTATTTCTTATCTTGGATGTTGTTTAATGTATGAAATAGCTATTAACATTTGATTATGCAATACCAATTATAATCTATATTTCTAATTAAAATAATCTCAAATTGATTGTGTAGTGATGTACGCTTGTCAGCCTAGCTCACGATAATCCTCTTACGTTAGATTGTAATTCACTCACAAAACTCGATAAAGTTGGATAAAGGTAGGTTTGTTACGCAACTATGGATTTTTAGTAGTATTAATTAGAACCAGCAGAGTAACAAAGATATAACCATAAACTTTTAATGTATCTCTGTTCTTTAAATAAAGAGTGAAAAGGATGACAATATGTTCTGTTGAAGTGTTACAAGATAGAGTGGAAATAATTTTTGTTACAAGAGTATTTTATATGGGATTTTATTTAACTAACTATTGAACGCGACCCTATAGCTATATAGCCTATGTGTTCTACCAGATTGTGTTCTACATCTATGCGAAATTTTCCAAACTATGGAGCCGATCTGGATATATCTTCTAACACACATCCATCTAATTAAACACTATTTATAATATTAGTAAGATTTAAAATAAAAGATGTGACTGAAAAATATTTTTTTTTTAGAAAAATGCACCATACATTTTATTATTATAGGATAGAATGGTTATATCGGAACGTTTATCAAACTATCCTCTCTTCACTCGATAACATCTCAAAGATTCTATGTGGTGCCGCATTAAAATACGTATTGTAGGTATACAAGCGCGATATCTCTTTGATAATATCTAAAATAGCCAATATATTACTAGATTTTAAAGATATAAGTACTCTTATTTTGCTCACGTTCATATCTGAAACTTGCGTGGTTTTTGTTATTAATTATCAGATGTCATAAATGCCCCAAGAGAGGGACTCAAAGTCTACTCAAGTTAGAGGTGATTAGGCCATAGTCAACCATGCTGGACCATGTCTTGACTTCACACGTATCTTTGAATCTTCACAGATATGTGCAAGTTGCTTCGCGATGTTTTCTTTTACTGTAACAACGTCGAATAAATGTACATATGAAATTGAATAATACATTGGTACATTCCGGCGATTGAACATGGACTCGTAAATTCTGTTCCGGTCCAGTAAATCGATTTACAACTGCGCTACTGTACCTCATGAACATATAACACAAAAAGTTTTTTTTTTTTAACTGAAATAGTTACTGTACTATATAACAGTAGGTCTAAAACACATAAGACGAAAACTCCTTGACACGTTCGTTCAAAAAGAATAAAAAAGATAAAAAGTTCCACGTGCAAGGAGTTCTTGATAGGTGATATAAAAAGAACAAAGAAATACTGGTTGAAAAAAAATGGACAAGTGGCGAACAATTAATGATGGCGATTGTACCCGAAGTGTTGCTCGCGACTGTACCACCTCATTACTGAGAGGCATTGAAATAAACACGAGTATAAATAAAAATATTCTTTCGTTTGGAATAATACAAAGGGAACAGGTTTTTTGTGTCAAGATCGATCCACATATAACGAAGAGTTTGTTTGTTCTGACGTAATTATAATAAAAAAATATGAAATTATTTTTTTTATTATTGTTTTGTTTTTGGCAACTCTAATTAAAATCAGTCTTTAATAGAATTAATTAATATAATGCCAACACAATTAAAATTATCAAAATATTGTGGATTCTAGAATAACATGTAATTTTGTATTCGTAATTTTTAGACCAATATTAGAACTAGATAGAAAGATATAAAGAGGAAAATTTTGATTGTTTTGCATTGAATTGATTCCTAAATTACTGAACCGATATGATAAATTCTTTCACAGTTGGGAAGCTACATGCTATAATACATCCCGTATATTTTATTATTATGCTTTATTTCTTACCAGATTTTTTTTTAACTTTACGTGGAAGAAATCACGTGCACTATTGTATGATGTTAACAGGAATTGCGAGAATTACTGTTTCGTAAGCGACATATAAATATGGAAAACTGGCCGTCAGAACCGCTAGTTAGAAAGGCACCTTAAGAAGATGTACACTAACTTTTTCGAGGATTTATTAAACATCCTTTATAAATTATCATCATCATATCACTTTTTGATCACTCTGTATAAATTATATTTGAAGGAAAAACAAAAAGGCATCTCAAGTCGTTAATTCGTTAGATATAAAAGCCGCAAACAGCAGTTACTCAACTAGTTTACTTAATAAGCACTTACTTT